AACTTGGACTTTAGTTATAAAGTCACTCATATCAAGACAGTAGGTTGCAAAGCTCCCCACACACAGACCCCCATTCATAATGGATATTTATCTTATTTACATAAACTCACAAGGTACCTCAAGAAAAAAGATCCTTCCATCACAGAAACCCCACTGCAGATGAAACTCTTTCAGATTCTGCATTCAAATGAGTGAATGCTTAAGATGTTGGCAGGGCACCCTGGGGATGCCTTTTCACCCATTCTCCAGAAGATTCCTTCCTTGTGAGGGCAAGAGACTAAAATCCATGGCTTTGCTCCCATTGCATTTCTTCATGTCACACCAGCAATCAGAAAATTACATCCACATGCTTCACTAATGCCTTTCCCATGTTTTCCACCACATGTTATAAGAAACACATGAGGAAGGGGTGAAGAACTAACCACTAGCATTTCAGCCACGTGACCCTGTTCTCCTTTCTCACCGGAACATAAACACTTACTTGTAAAGTCAAGTTGAAATTATTATTTGCTATACATAAAGAATAGAGACTTGAATAATGAAATATGGAATCCCAGATTTGTATCTATGAACACTCACTGTAAGGTCAATAGCAGGAACATAATACAGCCCTGGATTTGATCATGTTTGTGAACAGCCACCATCAATCCCACCACTTTCTAACACATTTATTCCATCTCATCAGCACATTTATTCACACAACAGTTAATTATTTAGGCGGATCTAATTCTACCACTCACACTGAGCAGGTCTCAAAGAGCCTCACCAGCACTCATAAAACTGACCACCTTGCACCCATTCACACTTCATGCTGTGGGCTGCAGGCCAGCACAGCACAATGTCCTTAGTGAAAGCAGTCATGGCAATAACAGTGTTCTAGCTCAACCTGTTATCCTTGCATCAAAGAGCTTCAAAGTACAAAAAGCAGTACCTTTAAGACAACATTGCCCTTGCTTACTCTTCCTTTACCCTTAAGAACAAAGAACTTCCATTTTCATCACTATTCAAACATGTTTATGATGCCTACATAACCAAAATAGAAGTGTATAAGCATGCAAGGTACAGAATTTGCATAGTGAAAGGCCTCCAGATACTCCCCTGTAGAGACACAGATTACTGTGCATGGCAAGGCCAACAAGCCAGGGGTGGTACACAGTGACCAGAAGTCCGGCTACTAGCCCATCTTCTAACAACACCACATTTACAAAGGCAGGTGTGGCTAAGCAGACCAGCAGCTCTCTCTTAACCAACTTTCAATACACAACCATTGAAGAAAAACACTCTTCATGTCACACTGATTACTACACAGTAGTTTTGGACAGATACCTACCGTGGTAGGAAGAGAAAACAGTAGGGATGACTGGGTAGTGCTATGAAAGAAACTTAGTTTTTGTTGTGATGAGTCTTTGCCCTCAATCCCACATTCCTTTTCAGATGTGTTAGGCTTTTACCATATTACCTATAAATGAATATCACTGAAAAGGCAGGAAGGAAGGAGACAAACATGATGTGCAGTGTGATACTGCCCACTGGGCATAAAAGAAGCACACATCAGGCATTTCTCATTCTCTTCCACCCAGTGATATATATGCATGAGTCCTACTACACCACCAGCACCGAGAATAAATCAGTTAAATTAGCCAATAACTACTGGTTGAACACTGCAGAAATGAGGCATGGAATCCAATAAAGAAGAGTTTGAAATTAAAATCCACTAATCTGCTCATGCGCAGGGTCATGAGCAACAGAGAGACCGGTCCCTGGTCACTCTGAAGGGTGGATCTCATCTGTATGAGCAAAGGGATGGGTACGAGCACTCTAATGAACACAAGCCCAGTGATGCGATGGCTGGAAATCATTGCAAACGGAAGAAATCTGATTATACTTCCTCCACTTTCTGTCTGTGCTACGTATGTGAAAATATATGGCCTGGTTTTCCATATAATCATATCAATGTTATATGAAGCTGTTACCACATTTTTAGTGAAGAAACTCCTGATTTGCAATCATTGTAGATAGGATGAAGATTAAGAACAGAATATCTCAAGTGAAATAGGTGTTCAAAGAGCATAGTAAATAATCTGCCATGAATAATTCATTTTAAAAAACTGATATTTTTCCCTGGTCCTGAACAACCCAAGAATAGAGTTATAGAATTTTTAGAGAATAGAGAATAGAATTTTTAACATTTATATGTTATTTGCAGTTATTTCTGAACTACATTAAGTAATTTATGGTAAACACATAATTCCAAAAGGAAGTTATGATAATTAAGTAAAACATAAAATTTTCAACTCCCACAGCAAGTTATGTCTTTTGACTAATTTATGTAATGAGCTGAGCTAGTCTGCCCTTCATGAATTTCAAAGTGCGTGTTCAATATTTGCAATTATCTGTGCTGGCAGCGGTTACATAAGTCGTCTGGCCAGTAGCAGTCCAAACGGTAAACCCAGCACTCTCTATGGCTCCAAACAGCTCAGGAAATACTGAAGCATGCAGTTAAAAAGTACAGTTGAGTCTTTTCTGTTCAAAAGCACACGGCTAGGATGCCTCTCCCTTCTTCACTCTAGTTCTACATGACACATGGATCAGGTGGTAGGCATGTGAGTGTTGCTTGTTCTTTCTTCTTGTCCAGAACATTAAGTTAGTTGCTTAATGTTTTTTAATGGGTAAGCAGCACTCATGTGTTGCTTGAGGTTTGTCACTGGGGCTGGAGAGGGAATGGGGTGCAGCAGGAGAACAAGCAGCTTAGCACATGTGAAAGAAAGGCTCAGGAAAGACATGGACGTTGACAGCCAGTCGAGACAGCTTGAAAGAAGATTTGGTCCGATTTTCAGCCTGGGTAAGATTCTCCCTATCCCTTTTATGAAACACGTTTGAACTTAGGAGATGAAAAACTAAATGTTGTTCATATCACCCTAATGATACTTTCTGATACTTAGACCAAATTGTGGCCTCACAGAAACATATGAGAGCTTTGTTTTTATCTGGGATGGAACCAGGATTTCATACTTTATCCTTGTGATCATGGCTTTTCATTTTTGTTCCTATTAACCTGTCTTAATGGGCCCTCTTCCCTTCTGGTCTAACCACTTCATTCCTATTTCATTCCTATTTCTCTTTTCATTCCTATTTCATTCCTATTACTCTTAATGTATTTTATCTCACCAGCCAACCAAACCTGAGATAAACCCAAATTAGACAAAAAACAACTACCACTGGCTGCTAATGCTCAGGATAATAGGCTGTCTGTTACTGTTGGTGTTGAATACTCAGCAGAAAATACTGAGGACTACAGAACACCACAAAGCATGCTCAGGGCAAACAGACCATGGCTAGGTGAGCATCTAAACTGATTTCTAAACAAGTTTGCTCTGACTTTGGGCACTTTATTATCTAAGCTGCAAGAAAAGCACTCAACTGCAGTGCTGCCTAACTCTTCCAGGTACTCTGCAGCACTGAGAGGAGAGGCAATAATATATTAAAAATATAAAATTAAACATATGTGGCTGTGATCTTTGGAAATATACTCAGATAACAGACTACTCTTTTATTATCTATTACCTTCTGCTTTTACAGCCCCATGAGTTCTGGACATAATTTCTTTACAATTAGTATTTTACTGTTGACATTTTCCCTCTCTCATCTCCTTATGTTCTCTTACCATTCCATTCAATGGCAAAGAAGTCAGTTTTTAAATGAGAGGTACTGAATGTTAAGGACCAAAAATTAATATTCAATCCTGGCAATAACTGGACTGATATTCCCTTGAATGTATAGCCCTTTTCTTTTGCTGCAGATGGACATGGTGATATTTCCATTCTCATCAGTGTGGCGCAGCTAAGGCTCGAGGTCTGTGGTACTGTGTGCAGGTTAAATCAGTGAGTTAAAAGCTAACCTAGTTAACTGAATAGTGGTGAAGTTGTTTCCTCTGCGATCATGAATGTAGTCAAAAATCCCCAGTTACTTCCTACACAAAATAATGTCTCCATTTGCACCTGCAGCACCTCCCTGAGATTCACTAGTGACTATGTTACCAGAGACTGTTTTAACCTCTACTTGTGAGCACATGTGTGAAATTGCTGCAGGGAGTGCTGGTTGCTCCATGGCCCATTCCCTCTCCCAACTCCAATGCACTCTATTGCTGTAAGACATCTCAGGTCATATTCCCTCCATCTGCTAGCTGCTCTTATGCTTTGAAGAAAATTGGCAACTCTACCATAAGAAAAAACAACTTCTGTTTGCATTACATGCTAAAGACATCACAATGGTAAACATTGGCAGTTTTAACACAGAGAAGTACCTAGACTTCTTTTTCCTTGAAAATCCAAATGAACAGCAAACAATGGTCTATTTGTGAATCTAAAATTCTCCTGCTTGACTGTGTTTTATACCAAGATAGCAAAAATGCTGGTGACTTTGAAGGCAGTACTGAAATGCATAATGCTGGAAACAAAACCTTTTTTTTTTTTTTCTAAATAAGAAGGTGCTTTAAGAGAAGCAATTCAATTAAGTTTCTGTAATGAAAGAACAATTGCCTCTAAGTGATGACAATTGGGAAAAAAAATGTTAGAAGCAGCTTCTTTTTCAGAAATTGGCAGCCAAGATCAATGAACAAAACATAAAATGTAGGCATTATTATTGATGCAGCTACTGATGCAAATAATGTATGCATAATACTCTAAAGGGTTGAATTTGGTGAAAAAAGCTGAATGAAATAGAATAGCTGATGTTAATTCTATTGAGGCTGACTTCAAGTAGCTAGTGTTCAACCAGTTTGGTTTTTATATGGCCTTGAAAGGTATGCCAACTATAGCTGTTAAATCCATATTGCAATTAGGAACTGTTACCTTTGCTGATCAAACAAAATATGAAATGGAAGAAAAGAAAAACAACATACCATGTTCACACACAAAACAAAAAAATAGCTATATCAGGGACATCAGGGAAGGTGGAATACTATAACAACACATTTTATATTGTTATACTATTCCACCCACCTTAATGGAGAACCCTTCGGTGTGGCTACGCCATAGCCTTTCGAATCCAGATTTCCTCCCACTTTCATGGTGTCACAAGGCTTTCGTTGCTCAATGTATTCATTCATGGTGGACTCCAGCAGGAAGGCAAACTTGCCCTTGGATTTGCGGACACGAGCTACTCCCTCTGCAGTAGTCCTAGTGAACACTGACGGCTCTGCTGATTTCATGTAGGTCCACATCTTTTCATACACTGCTATTTTTGATCTCTGGAGAAAATTAAAAAGAAGTTAGAACAAAAGAATGTTGCGACATTTCACAGTGGTGCTGTTCAAAATAAAATCAATCAATCACAATTTTTCAAATAATGGGTATTGGGAAAATCTGACTGTTAAGGGTTTCCTTTTAATACAATGATTAATAAATAATAATTAAAAAAAGACATAACAATGGATATACTATGACATCAGATATCACTTGTAGACCAGTTACAATAAAGTAACTGCATATTTAAGGCCTGAATTTATTTTTAGATAAAAGCAGTTTACACAATAAATGTTCTAAGGAGTATTTTAGGGAATTATGTATGAAATAGATATCCATTAAAAACCTGTATGGAAAAGAGAAAAAAAATAAAAGAATTCCTCCATAAATATTGAGCTGTATCTTGAGTAAATTCTCTGCTTTTACACCTACTTCTAACATCAATGAAACCACAATAGCTTAAGTAATATTTCTGCTTATTCACAATCCAGAACTGTTTCAACTTCAATTGAGATTCTGTGCATTCAAAGACATGGTTCAAATTAAAGATGAAAACAGAAAATTGTACAAAATATGCTGCTGAAGGAGATATAATGCTGGGAGCATTTGGTTTTAAACAAATACTAGGTATGTTTTTAGAACAGTAGTTCATAAATAAATTGGGTTTATATCTTGCAAATACTTGGCCAGGACATGTGCTTGCTCAAGGAATGTGCAGGAATTCATGACTTAGCTGGAGATTTTCCTTACTGGGATTGCGTGATGTATTCATAAATAAAGAATAAGGGATGATAAACCGTAAGCAAAAATAAATAAATAAGGAAACAAAGCATCAGAAAGGGTGGAATTTAAACTTGGAAACCACAGTGGTGAGACTGTCAATATCAGACGCTTCCCTGTGCTTGTTACATTAATTCAGCAACTCCTCTGCTTCATCCAGCAACACAAATACATACATGCTAACCAGCAGCATGGCAGCTGACCTCTATCCGGTATTTTTATTTAATAAGACATGGCATTTGTCTTCTCTTGTGTGTGGGCAAAAGAGGAATCTTTCTAGCCATGAAAGCTTTTCTTTGAGTCAACAGGAATTTCAAGCAAAGTGAGATTTGGTCTGTCAGCCCATTCCTATGCTGTGCTGAGCACTGCAGGAAAATAATTACTTTATTATGTGGCCCCACACTGAAGGAAACAGAAGGATATTAGAATATTTGAGCAAATATAAAATAATGTAATCTAGGTATTATTTAAATGTAGAATGGCTTTAAGAATCCTGGAACCAAGACTTTGCATAGGTTAAGAGTAATTTCCCTGAGCAAATACTGACTGAATGTATTATGGCTTAGAAACGAAGTTGTTAGGAGAGAACATCTAACTGGAAAATAAGCATCATCCAAATGTTCGATACAAATACCATGAAACAGAATATCATAAATTATCCATTCTTTTTTTAGTTTGTCTACCTATCCCATTTTGTCCATCAAACACAATAAAACTTGTGATTATGCAAATTAATAATAGTTGTATATATCCATAATCACATCCTCTCTTTCCACTGTAGACACAGCTCCTTTTCATTTACATAATAGAAGCTAAGAGCAGAGCCTTAGTCAAGCCATCCATGTCTTCCCTTTGCTTTACAATTACAATTAAAATTACAGAAAGAAAAAAAACATGTAAGAGAACAGTAATGAATCAGGCAACATTTCAGGAATATTTACTTGCCTTCGTTTACTTCTAACAATTTCTTAGGTCTTAACATTCACTTCATGAAATAAACTTATAATAGGTCACTTTCCTTCAAAACTAGAAACATTCCACACAAAGCAGAACTATTATTAACATGGAATTATGCCCTAAGTCAATTAAAAAAAAAGGTTTCAATTAAGTATGTTTTTTTCTGGATCTTATTTTGTTTCCCTATCAAGTCATAAAAAAATACAGAAAGTCTAACAAGACATCTGCTCTGTGAGGACATTTTGGTCTCCCAAGCTTTCACTTGTTAACATTCAAATTGCACATGTCAACCTAGAGCGAAAAATGAAGATATTCCTTATTACCACATGAAAAAGCTTAGCAGCTTTCCTCTGCAGTCAGTCAAGATAGGATGATTTTCATTTAGGGCTTTTCTGAGACTAAGGGTAAGCTTCCTTCCTCTTGAGCAAGCTGCTCTGACAGTGCAACTCTTGATGCTTCCAAAACAGGAGAGTAAATAGCTGGTGGAATCAATGTCTTATTTTTCTTTACTGTGTCTTTAAAATGACTTTCTTTTTCAGTTTTCAATCATGATTTAAAGCAGACCGAATGGCTGTTCTGATTTTCTGATGTTTTCATAAGAAATGATCAAATGATAAGAAAATGTCCTGATGGACCACAGCCAATAATCACTTTCAGTAATTACTAAAAGGAAAGTTATCCATGACTCTAATTCTGAAACTGATGATTGTTTCCAACCACACACACACACACACAGATTAATTGGGAAACAAATCTTCATGTACTATTGTTTGAGGTGGGACCTGAGTTTATGGATTGTGCTTGTAGAAATATTGTCTGTCAGTGATATTTTATCCTTGTCCCTGTTTTGTGCAAAAATTTTTAGAAATAGAGTCATCATAGAATGGCTTAGGTTGGGAAGGACCTTTAAGATCTCCCCTAGGAATTCTTTTTTGTATCATCACATTAAAAACAGCAAATACTGTATATTCTTGAGAATGCAAGAAGTGAATAAATAAATAATTAAATAAACCTGTTTTGTTCTCAGCATCATGGTTTTAATTGTCGTCACAGCTTCATGCCTGTCGAAAAAATACTGAAATGCATACACTTTAATGTACTAAAACTGGAATTCTCAGAATTAAATGCCAGAATTTGCACTAAATGAATTAAAGAAGAATCTATGGGTTAAGCACATATAAAGAAAAATAAAAAGGAATACTGTGGGATTATGCTATTTTCTAAAAAATAGGAAATCCAGCCATCTCAGGGATTACAGTATTTCAGTTTTTGGATAAGCTCTCTGTATCTGAAAGCCACCATTTTGGCAGGTGTCTGATGTGAAATAAAGGCTTGCAAGAATAAAAAGCCATGTTTCTACCACCTCAGGGATAACAAAGCCTGCTCTCAGAAACCATCTGTAACATTGCATTTAGGTGTATAGCAGCATACTGACTGCAAAACGACAGCTATAGACACCTGTCCGGGAAACATATCCATCAGAAAATGAAGTACCGCGCACTCTAGCCATTTCTGATGGGTCACTCTAGAGTTGGTGCAAAGAGAAAGAAACTTCAATGGGTGACTCATTTCATCCTAAAACTCTTGTCCCATACAGGTTTCAGTATCTACAGAAGAAATTTAGTTAACTCTCTTAAGAGTAAACTCCCACTAGGCACCATATTTTTACAGCTTAAAAATATGCAAGAAAATATCTGCAAGTTTTCTGTGGGGCTGTATCTTACAATGAAAATATTATTTCACTACAGGCTTCTTGGACAACACTCAGCAACTCTCCTTGAACTGTTCCTGTCTTCAGTTCACAAATTCCATTCATAATGTTGAGTGACTTCAGTTTGGCCAAACTGAAAACATTCAAGCTACATGGGAGCACCTGACACAGAACAGTACTCTTTCAGTAAGACAAACATTTCTTTCTTCTAAAAATGCCTTAACCTGTATCTTTCATATAAATATTTTTTGTCTTGAACCACTTAGTTACCAAGGGAGAATTACTGACTTACTACATTTATTCAAAGCCATGTTCAAACTCTAAACTCACATGTGAAATAAATGTGAAATGTGAAAGAAAGCAGGAGGGATTATTTATTATGTACTCTTGATAATGCTCAGGCTCCCTATTTTCTGACTGGCAAAGGAAGAGGTTTACATGTCAACTACAGATATGTAGGAAAGCAAATGAAAATGAAGTAATCAACAGAGACAGCACAGACATATGAATGGCTATTTAGGCTGTTTCCTAATGCTTCAGCCCCATCCCCTCAAGTTGTATTTTCTCTTTATTATTCATCTGAAAGTCTGTAAATTAAAAATAATGCATTTCCTATCCAAGACCCTAGAGGAAAATGCATGCAGCCAAATCCAAAAGTAAAAGCAAAACCTTCAAGACTGCATATTATCATCGTGGACTTGCAATGCTTCACATCATTTTAGTGCTGCAGCTTCAACTGAATCAATAGTGCAATGCTGCTTTAATTATCACAGGCTCCAGGATCCCTCAGGGAAACTCTTCTCTCCAATGTGACAGGATCAATAAGTTTTCCATGAATTAAAATAACTGAGAACTCCAACAAAAAGTGTCAGGGGTAAAAATGTAGATTAAGAATTGCATGAGTTACAAACCATATTATACATAATTGCAAAGTAATGGTACTTCACCCTTTCCAAGCATGTTATCAGAGTGGTCATTAGGGAAAGCTGCTCTAATGGGTATGACAACTTACTCTGAAGAACTCTTTGGTTGACCCTGAGTCCAGTGTCCCGTAAGCAATTTCAGTTTGCTTGGCAAGGTCTTCTGCACTTTCTATGGGCGAGACCATTCGCTCAACAGTCAAGAAAGCAGCGAGGTTAGCAGTGTAGGATGAAATAATGATGAGCGTGAAGAACCACCAGACACCTCCAACAATGCGACCTGAGAGGGATCTAAACATGAATAAGATAATGCACATTTTCCTGTCTTTTCAGCCACAAAGAGAGAAAGAGAAAAAAAGAAGGCACTACTATTACTGAATATGTCATTACCTAACAGAAGATGGGAAGGAGACTATCCGCATTTTAAATATACACTTTTGAATCTTAATGCCTATAGTATACAGTCCACTATAGTAATACATATTTCTCACAGACACAGAAGTATGAATTCTCTTGAACAGTAATCCCAATGTTCTTATTTCAGGAAATGCCTAGCATGGCAAAAATGTTGTAAAAAATCCTAGGTAGGTAATTTCTTTTTTGAGACAAAAGTAAAGCCTAGTAGTTGCAGATCAGTAGCTTTGTCTTTTTCCTCTTTAAGGATGAGATTTGCACATGCTTATACTGGTTCCAGGATTAAAACGTTTTTGTGAACAACTTAACATATGTTCAGTTACCACAAGGACTTATCAAACATTCTGAACACAACTGTAATAACTCAACATTTCATATTTTGCTATTTAAGAAGCATGCATTTTTGTGGCAACTGTTATTTATGATAAGTAAAAACTACAATTTCCATTTTACCACCTGCAATTTGATGTGAAGGCTTTTGAAGAGGAATGTACATCCAGTATTAATCAGCAGCAATGTTATTTCTGATTTCAATAATAGCAGAGCTAGAGGTCAGTGCTGATGCTCTGAAATCTCATTGCTAATTCAAATTTGAAAGAATGGGTCATAAATTAAGTTGTAGTTACTGCACACTGAAGTTCCAGAACATCTAAAAAGGTTGAGAAATTCAGGACTGAGATCATATATTACATCTGAAGTAATCCACTCTGTAATGCCTAGCTTGGCACTACAACATGGCTTCCACAAACAGCTGGTCAAATATTATCTCTCGTGTAGACAGGGATATTCTGGATGCAGTGCTGCAGAATTTAATAGGGAACAGAAATGGGACATTTGTTCAGACAAGTTAAGTAGCATAATAGCGTGCATTTCACAACTGTAATACAATGGAACTAATTTAGCAACAACACAATTCCTCTGAAGCCCATACAGTGGGATTCCTCCCATGTGTACCTGTTGTTTCTGAGAACTGTCTGTGATTTATACACATTGACTCATATAAACAATAACGGCTGAAATTCAAAGCATATTTTGTTACTCTTATTGTAGCAATTAAAACGAGAAAAATGGAAAGGCTTCCTAAAGAATGAACTTCAAAACACTGCCAGGAAAATAAAACGGGAGACTTTACGCTTCAGTGTTGAAGGAAAAATGCAAACATGAAAAGATTTGACACAAACCTTGGGGAAATATCACATCCTTGTTGCATAAAGGCACCCAGGGAAAACCAGAGGCTGTTGAATATGCCAAATTCATTGGGAGGCTGATCACTGGGTCCTTCTTTCCCATCCTCTGGTTCTTCTGTATGCCACTCGTATGGGCTAAACCTGCTAACTAGGAACAGGACCACACTGACACCAATGTAGGCAAAGACTATGCACATCCAGATCTCATACGCCAAAGGGTCCAAGAAGGAAAATACTCCTGGTTTAGATTTCTGGGGCTTTTTGATCATAATGGATATCCCCAAACTCATAAAAGGCTTAGAAAAATCAATGACCTCTTCTCGTACCAAAGTGATGGTCAGAGGCGCAACAGCAATCTCTGCTTTCTATAAAGAAAAAAGAAATATAGATGTATAGATTAATTGGATTTGGCTTATAGACTCAGATAAGCAGCTAATTCCAAAGGTATGTTATCAATATCAGGACACTGTGGCTTATATATTCTTTATACTATGTTTCTATTTCTTACTATCACAGTCTACATTTACTCGATATGCTTTTAGAGATAAAAACATATTGCAGGATTTTGTTTTACAGAACTACAGATATACTTAATTTTCCTGAGAGAAGACTCTCAGATCTTACAGAAGTGGGCAGCAGTCTATGAAGGGCACTTCAGGAATTAATTCAAATTTAAAGAATTTAAGGAAGGATTCAAAGTGAAAATGGCCTTATTGACACTAGATATATTGGTATTTTTTATAAAATTCCAGAAATAGTTGCATATTATCATATTTTCATAAGGTACAATCATTGTTCTGCACAACCCAACACAGAGTCTCACGGAAATTCCAAGTTCCATAAAGTAGCAAAGGTGATTAATTAATGCCACAAAACTACAGGAAGACAACTTGAGGAAAAGATAGTTCACTACAAAGGAATTAAGTCATAAGCAGCACAAAAGACAAATACATGGAAAATAGGATACAAAACCGTGCCATTAAATGATAAAAAGTTTGTTAAATCCACTTCCTTCAGAGAGAATTTTTTAAACGATCTGTTTCTTTAAATAAGTTTTTGCCAGTCTTTAATGAATCATTACTGGTGATGATGTTGATTATGGATGCTAACAACGATGTTTGCATTAATTACAAAGTATTGTAACTGCACTAATTGTCTTTTCTGTGATCCAGGACCAACATCAGACTAAGGTTTGCTCTTTGCCCTGTGAGCTAAAGCTGTACAGTAGAACAGTCATACTACAGTATTATATACTGTACATACTATACTATAGTATATACTGTATATAGTGTATACTGTATATATAGAATATACTGTACTATAGTACAGTATTACATAGTTCCTTACATGGGAGTTGTAAAAGGAACTGGGAAGAAAATGCAACAGTGACGGGGGAACAGAGATGCAGAAGCTGCTGAAAACTTTCTCCTGTTCATCTTGTCATCCTGTTACCCTGCCCACAGCAGGGCAGTTGGAATTGGGTGATCTTTAAGGCTCCTTCCCACACAAATTGTTCTATGATTCTGTGATTACCACATTGCTATCCCTAAGTGCATTCATAAAGATGAAGGCTAGCCCAGGCTCTCTGGCTAGCTTGGACCTCTTAGCTAATGGGCTAAGGATGATATCTTTAGGAAATACATTTTTTGGTTGCAAATAAAGTAGACTCACAACCTGCCTTCTGCAGTGGCCATATTCTGCTTCATATCTCAACACATGAGATATTCTGCATGTGTTTCCCCCCCAGTTACAAGCCCAATCATCTTCACTGGCACAGCTGAGTTATTCATAAACCTCCGTAATGTAACTGTCTTCATTTTCTTTTTTAAATACTTATTTTGCCCAAATTCATCCTACAGAGTAGCATCATCAGATAAAGCACATTTCTCATAGTTTATCAAAATTTAAGTATGTTTTCATTTTAGCAAGTTCTTTGGGACATAAATACTCTGTAAAATACAAAAGGACATATTTAAATCCCTCAAATTTCAGCGAGATTAAAATAGGCTGAAAACTGAGGACGTACTTAAATAGTTTGTCTAACCCAAGTGTTACATAAATAGCTTGTGTGATAAAGAAAAATTAAAATTGAAATGTAGGTTTTTTGTCATCTCTAAACTTTAAAACAGATATAGCATATTTAAAGTAATATGCTCTTGTATTTTTATAAACAAAGTTATACTAAGCTATACATATTTTATGGAATATAATTTTAAACTTATCTAATGTAGTTATAATTTAAATATATATATTTGTAGCTGCATAATTCTGAACACATTAAAAGAAGTGACTCATTACCGTGCAATGGTTCAAAAATGCAAATTCAAATTTAAATTATTATATATTAATCATCAGGTTATAGCTGTCATTCTGAAAGAGCTGTGATGCAAACCCTTATCCCGATTTTATGTAAAGATATTACAATTTAAGCAGTATAATTAAATTCATCATTTTGCAAGCATACCAGTCATTATTTCTTGTGCTATTATCTGGGATAATCATTATGGCAATAGTGCTAATTCTCTGCATTTTAAATTCTGTGATATGAGGCATTTTTAAAAATCTCATTTCTTGAAGTGTTGTGATTTTATTAGTAAAAAATACAAACAATGTTTAAAATATATTTTCAAATATCCTAACAAGAAGAAATTGAATCTAGTGTCTGTAATCTAAGGACTGTAAGATGGTTTGGGTTACTGACATTGCTGCATAGTTCTGTACTTCATCTCACTCATCACTTCCCTCTTTCTAGAAAGATGGCTTCCAACCTTAGAGTCAATGTCATTTATAATCCCAAATCTCAAGTTCTGTGAATGCCTGCCGTGGAGTCCTTGAAACCAAATAAATAAAAGACTCAGGGAGATCGTGGTCTACTACTGCTAGTTATAGCCACATAATAGTATCTTTATTAACACAGTGTAAACGCTCAGCTTGGTTTTCAAAAGTGTTGCTAAATCTTGATTTTCTTATGTGTCTGCTGATTATGAGCGGTGTTAAAAATGGATCCTTGAGAGTTGTTAGTTTTTATGATATGAGGTGGAAAAGTGACAGCACCACTTTGGTGCTAGCTGTGGAGATTAATTTAAAGACCTAATTAGCACACTGTTGTATGCAAAACGTTGGATGAGCTGCATCTTACCAAATTAAAAGGCCTGCAGAATGAGCTGTCTACACTACTCTAAGGAGTTAAAGAGGTATTGATCAATCAAACAAATAAGTACGTATCCCATTTCACTACAGTTGCTGTCTAATGTTAGATAGTTCATAATGTAGACAAACTTGTTTCATGACAACGAATGTAAATGAACAGTACACAGCTAGGTCACGATTAGCAGCCCAGTATTTGGAAAAAAATCCAACCTACCCAATCTGATCATATTACTTATCATTTTTGTATGGATATTTTGTGGCACATAGAGGCCTACATAAACTCCTTGTTGTTGAAAGCTAAATAGCAACAACTGCTGTGCATTAAAAGTATCAGTGTTTATGGATTTAAATGATAAACAGTATAACAATAGTGCAAATTATTCATGATCATGTTCCCAGTGAAATCTGTTTGGACAAAGACTAATGGCACCTCACATTCAAACCAACTCCACCTGTAACAGTATTTCAATCTACCAAGTACAGATGTATTCTGCACTCTTCCAGCTTAAAATAATGGAACAAGATTAAGCCTGATGGTGCAGATTTTCACTTTTCCAGAGTATAGTATTCTAATCTTTTAAATAAAATTTGTGCTTAGTGCATTCTGTATGAAGGTGGTAAAGCTATCTGAGAAAAATCATACAGGAAGTAACTTTAACTATGGAAGTACATGCTTCTCAGATTTTAAAGAGAAATGAGCTTCGACCCTCTGTATGAAACAGTGCAAGAGTAGCATATTCCGTCAGGGGAATAAATATTTAATCAAGGCTGACTGTCAGTGCATTTGGAAACACCTGTTATACATGATCAATGGTATTTCAACCTCAGCTGCGTTTCTTCTCCGAGTGGGCTAGTTATGAAAGGCTACAGAGCCCCACAAGAGATTACTGAGGGTGCTCAGATAAATCAGGGACAAATTAGCAAGATTTTCTGATGGCTTTTCATATAGTGCTAAAATCAAAATAGGAAAATAAATCAATCCTTGCCATGACCTTATGTACAGTCATAGCAAAGCTGCATATCACAGCACCTTATCACTCTGTTTCCCCTGCAACATGATAGAAAAAAAAATGAGCTACAGTGCTCAGGTTAACAGCCAGGCCATTTGCACAGAATCTGAAGGCGTCCAGCTACCAGAACACAAAGTGCATGTGGGTTTAACTAGGTAACATGGGATTAACTGGCACATGCGCTCACCCTCAGCAACACGAGCAATGCTACATGGTACTGGGGGTCTATGCAAAGAGCAGGAGAGACAAGGACTGTTCTGTGTGATGCAGAAATGCTTTCACTGGGTGGCACAATGTTGTTTACCCTTTAATATGGTTGGCATTTAGTATCTGTAAAATGTTTCCCAAGCAGGTTGTCTTGTTAACTTGCTAATTCACTTGCAAATTTGGTCTCAATCCTAGCTGCATATAAAAAGCCCTGCTTGAAGCACAGCCAAACACTCAGACTTTGTGATTATGATTTGCGAATCTACTGGAGAAGATGAGCAGCCGTTTACAGGAGAGCTTTGCAGGAAGGATGGGCTGATTTTCCTGGTTTCTCTAAGTGGGCACCTGCCGCTGTGTAAATCATCTGGCAAGGACTCAAGGAGGTTGCAGGGAGAATGGTTTTCTTGATTTCCCCATGGAAATCTTAAGTAACACACTTTTCTGCATTAACAGGAAAAACAATCTGCTTTAAAGCTACATCTGTATAAGTAAGTTGAACAAGGCTGGGGAGCTCCTGGCCAGCTGGCACAGCACAGGCTCTGTCTCTGCCATGAAAATCCTTGAACCTCCAAGCAAGAATGACTGTACTCAAGCTGCTTATAGGGAGTAGTCTGTCACCCTGTAAGATATTCTGTTAACGTCTGTGTCTCAAAGCTTGCTGGGGACACAGATGGACTTGTTCAAGTCCCCAGCAAGGATTGTGAAATCCTTTGTCTGAAGGACACACATGAACAAGTCCTGGGCAAAGGTTGTGAGATCTTTTGTCTGGGGGACGCAGATGGGCAAGGCCAGGGGCAACGAGAGTGAGATGAGCTGCAGCTAAATAGCTGTGAAGTGCTCCTTTGTGTGGACCTATCTCAGGATGATGAGCCATCTTAGAGGGTACTCAATGACTCTTGCTCGAGGCCCATCCTTGTCACGTAGGCAGGAGAACAAGGAGGATAAAAGAGGAACTGAAGACCATGAGGATAGGTTTTCTGACAACAGATTCCTCATGAAGAAGAACGGGGGTTTCTGGCAGCAGATTCCTCATGAAGAAGAAGAGGGATTCCTGACAATCAGATTCCTCTTGTGGTGACTCCTGCATATTGTCGAACTCTCCTGTGCTTGCTGCCTGAGCGCTGCTGCTGCTTCAAGGATTGGCTGCTCGACTTCCTTATCTACCTGCTTGCTGCCCAAGGCCGGCCACGCTGCTGCTCCCCATCCCCCTGCTGCGTCTGCCTGGGACCTTCAAACACCGTGCAACGGGACCGCTGCTGGATCCTGCTGGTGACTCTCCCTGCTTTACGCAACTCCTGCTTCTTTTCCATCTTTTCTATCGCCCTCCTTCCCTTTCCCATCTCCCTGATTAGGTTTGGTAATAAACTGGATGGAACAACATATAAACCGTTGTTTCTTAATCTCACGCCGGGTATAAAGATGTTAAAAGAACCTCATCTCCCTCCTATAAATTGGAGCGAGACACACCCATGCTACCGTCAAGCTGGGACCAGAAAACATTTTGGAGAGTAACTATGGTCAAAAATACACCATGGACTTTGTAAATAGTCAGATAAGTTAGATAGATAATTTAGCAGATTAGGCAAGAGTTCAAGTACTCACAGGCATTCCCTGGTACTACTGACATACTGGGATCAACACTGCCAATAGGAGCTTTTGGGTGCTATAGCAAATACTGGGCAACAGCAGAGTACTATCAGATCTTTCAGTTAAATAAGCAGTCCTGAGAGCTTTCAGCTTGACCATCAAACCTCTAAAGGGCTTTCATGTAATTCTTCTCTGTTCAAAAAATAAAGTTCTGACCATGCATTGTGGAATGTCCTCTTCAGGTATTTGCAACAAGTTGCTCATGCCTGGGAGTGTCCTTGTTTTCAAGTATGTCAACAGCAGCAGTCACATTCCGGGACTGGTATGAACCTCTGTCTGAGCTTCCCAACAGGAATTTGTGTGTTAGTCTATTACTAGAGATGGTTGAGTTTCATGAGGTAAATTTTTCAAGATAAGGGAAAAAAAGATTAAAAAAAACCCAACAAAGCAAAAACAAACAAGTAAACACCACAGAAAAAGTGTAATTTCAGTTTTCCTCTACAACTTCACTAGATTAAAAGTCACTAAAACTCTGCTATCAAAACTCTACAGAATCTGGACAAAGGGACTTTCTCACAATGTGTATAATTTCTCAGATATCTTAGAAGAAACTACTGATATAAAAGTGTAGAATGATCACATCTATGTGATGGTTAATGTAATTAAAAGCCAGATAAGAAGTTGCCTTAATTTGGATAGGATGAATCTGAAAAACCCTTGATTTTTAACATTCTGAGAGTTCTAAGGCACTAAAGCAGATACAGACGCATGGTGATCACTCAGCTTTTCCTCTGTGAGATTAGTTCATTCAGGAGCTTCCAGGAACACAGGAGTTTGTGATGCTGATGTAATCCTTCCCATTCTCACATCAAAGGAAATCAACAAACTCGGGGACATTGTTTCCCATACTTTTGCTGTGCAAAGTCTATTTCATGTCATGGAGATACCTGAACTGATGAATAAAAGACTTTGACAAAATCTGTCAGTTTACATAGTTGACCGAACAGAGCAGGGCCCTAACCATCATTTGGCAGGCAAAGCTCTGCCTAAAACTGTGAGTAGACCAGCTGTTATTCAGCAGTCTTTCATAGAGGTGTAAGCATGATACATGCTAACTGATGGAAATGTTCTCATCTAAAGAGCTTCAGGATTTTTTTTATTCCATCACTGAAAGCTTATCTCAAATTTGGGTTCTGTTCACATTACAGATAGCAGCAGCTGAGGCAACCAGCAAGCAGAGCTCTGAATTTCTGCTTCTTTTGGTAACACTAAATACTAAAAATATTTCTCTTGTGGTTGTTGGAACTATTTTCACAATTACAACTCTGTCAACAGAATTTTTAACCATGATGCTCTTTCTGAAGAATCCTTCTCCAGATCAGTGTATAATATATGCTGTTTCAGTGCCTATATGTTCATATATGTTATTTATATGTCCCAATAAATGACAATTTCTAACACTAGTCCAACAGTCCTGTCTTTTTTAAAATATCTGCCCCCATTCCATGAAAATGAATCAATGAATGATACTCTTCCCAACTAAACTCTACAGTATATCAAGAATGGGTGGTCTTGAAAGTCCTCCATTAATTCTAAGAGTAACGAATTTTTAAGGGATGTGAAAACTATGGATGTTCTAATGTCACAAAGTACTGGTTTAGCAAATATTAGCAAAATTTAGCAAAATAGCAAAATTTGCATTTGATTTCCTCTTGAAAATAAATGAATGCACAGAGATACGAAACAGAATTGTTTCTTTTCTGTGACTTCAGGTTTAAATAAAATACACACATACTTCCTAATTTATGACTAATACTAAAATAAATTAAATCCTGCTTCAAAAATTGGTATGCTTACCCCATAAACAAGTTCTCCCACCATCCCATTCCAGATTTTTGTCTCTGGATCCCTTGCTCCATATTTTCCATCAGGAACAATGGCAATTTTGTACTTGATACCAATATGTTTTGCAATTTCTGACGCCAGATCTACACAGTATCCTTCAAACTTGTCATTCCCTTCAAACGTATCATGGTTTTTCTTGAACATAACATATGGGGCTTCCTATAATGAAAGAATTAAAACTGTAAAGGAGAAGTATACAGAACATACTCTGAAAAGCAACATGTAATCTACTGACTGAACAACAGACTTTTAATCAAAAGTACATGGATATTGTTAGCACATTTAAATTTAAATATATGAACAGAAATCCTTCTGAATATACTATTATACTATTCTGGATATACTATAATTTGGCTTACACATTTCACAAGCTTTATCAACCTTTACAAATAAAAATCATAAAAAAGACCCAAGTACAAATATAATTTTTGCTTTGTGCTAAATTAAAGATCTTAGTACAGTGTATAGTGAATATAAAGCAAGATCAGAGGTTGCATCTGTGCAATGCAAATGACAGTGGGATAATACAAGGTATAAATTACACTTTTGACTGCAATGAGTGCAATGGCTCTTCCAAAAGTAATAGCTTCTATTTTATGATGTTGGCCCATGATGTCAGAGGTTGATGTTGGTGCTATGGCAGTAGAGTTTGAACCTTCCTGCCACAAGTGTATTACATTTTGCTTCTATGTGACAGATGGCAGCAGAGAAGCAGTCTGACAGAATGGCATCTGACATAGAAGTGTGAATGAAGGAAATGTGTGTAATTGAATTCCTCCATGCAGAAAAAAATAACACCTATTGACATTCATAGACACTTTCTGAACGTTTATGGAGACCAAACAGTGGATGACAGCACAGTGAAGCGATGGATGGTGTGTTTTAGCAGTGGGGACAGTGGATCACCTCTACTGGTGCAGACTTTTACAAGTGCAACATATAGGCTCTTACATAGCTAATGGTGGTGAATCTGTTGCAAAATAGTGTCTTGCAGCTGAGAATCTGTGCTAAGTAATACTGATATTGTGCTTTTTGTATCTGTTGTAGTTTTCACGAAAATAAAGAGGAGGCGTTAATTTCAGCTCAACAAATCTATATCCTGTAACATAACTCCTTTGTACATAATTTCAGGTGCACAGCCTGAATTATTCACTTTCTTGGGGTTTAAAATGCACAGTTGCTCAGAGGCTATGCACATTCTGGTGAGAATATGGAAATATATTCCATAGGAAGCATATAATCTTTGAATAAAGAGTGCATATTTTACATGGTCTTTTACTATGGACCTAAGTAATATTTATGAAGAAGCATAGTTAAAAGCTGACTGATATTAAAGATGCGTGTCAAATTATCAAAATACAGTTTTGGTTACTAAGTGCCATTGGAAACAAGTGAAAAGTGTTTTGAAAAGTAGATCTTAACAGTCTTTGTAAATCACACTACCACAGTAAAAGTGAACATGTGACTGGGAAATTAAAATCATATTTTTTCTATCTGGCTCTGTGAGGATTTCAGACTTTAGCAATCATTATGTCAAACTATAGTTCCTGGTGGTATTTTAAATGACTTCACATAATCCATATTAATAGCCAGTTCCAGATAAAATATTGTCGCTAATGTCACCCTTTGTTTGAATTTACATCATAAAATACTGGCAACTCCAATTTTCTCTGAGGCTATAGCTGTGCTGGCTCTTGGCATGCTTTTTAGACATTGACCTTGGTAGTCCTCTGCCCTAGTCACATCTTTCCTACATACCTAATTACCGCACAAATAAAATTAAGGTAAATGGGTAGATTGAGAATTTGTTCTAGATGGTACTACATGAACATCAGTGTTAAGCAGCAGCAATTATGTGACCTATATTCAATGTTTAACAAAAAAGGATACATGGCATTAAAGGAGCAGTGAAGGATTACATACATCAATTCCAATTTTTTTAGTATGCCAGATAAATTTCTTCTTTCAGACACAAAAATGTAGCTCCTGTTAGCTGCATCTTAACCCACCCAAGAGAAGAACTTGATAGGCAAGTTTGAACAGTATGTTCAATTTACTATTACAGAATGAAAAGGCAGAAAACCTGAAAAAAGCTAGATTCCATATGGGAGGCACTATTCCCTTTACTTATGTAAATTTAATCCCTGTGCTAATTGTGCTTATGACACACCTCGGTATAAGGATGGCAGAAGGGAGCTTTGTGTAAAGAGAATGGAGAAAGTTATGTAGTTCATTTACTTAATGTGACAAAAATATCCTAGATTAAATAAAACAGTTTGGGAATGGGGAAGCAGGAGGGGTTACTAAAACAAAGATGCAGGTTAGTAAGTACTGCAGGAATATTTCATTCTCAGATGTACCCCCAGAAATCTTCTCCTCCCATCCTCTCCTTGTGATATTCTCTACTACTGATGTGCTTTCATGGGCCACAATCCTTGAGTGATAATTCAGTACTGGAGGCCATTTATGCATTACCACCATTAATTCCAATATGAACCATATTGCATAAAAAACCATTTGCAGTGGTCACATTCATGTCCTACCTGGCTACCTGTCTCCTTGTCGTGTATAGACATAGGTAAAAGCCCAGAGAAATCTGAAGATGATAATAGCAGACTGCTGCACTTCTTGAGGATTTTGTTATGAGCACTGCATGACCAAGGACTGCTAAAACTGCAGCAATCCCCAAGCAAGCTGTTATCATCCTGGCATATGTGACGTGGACATTGAGAAGGCCACAGCATTAACTATACATTATAATCTCTGCAATGATGCAGTGCAGTGATTTTGGTAGTGCAGTGTTTGGATCTTCTAAAAAAACCTGACGAATTTTAGCAGCAGCATATCTTTCTTTGTATTCCATTCCCTGTCAAGTGAGCTTACTGTCAACCACCTGTTTTTCAGAGGGAGGGAGGGAGAAGAGCAGTGATAAGGGGTTCTGTCCTCAGTTTGTGGAATATCTTAATTTTGGGAAGTATTTCAGGCACATGAATCAAATGTTCCTCACTCATTTACAGTTTATGTTCCCATTACAGGAAATGTCAAAACCTTTGTCTTTCTACACAGTTTTTTTTTCCATAGAAATGGTTAAAAATAATTAGAGGAAAAAAATAGCCTATCTCCTGACTTAGCAGTAGAACCATGTCCTGTCAAATATCTTGAATCTGTGGACTCTCCTTACAAACTTCAATTACATTTGCTCGCTGCACTTGAAAAGTCATTTTGTTTTTCAATTCCAGCATCAGTGTTTGCTAGCTTTTCTGAATCAGACATTCTTATAAATCCCAAACCAATGCCATATAATTAAAACCATGAAAAAAAAAAAATATTCTGGAGAGAGATTTGAACCAGACAGGTGCAGAGGAGGCCAGCTTCTCCCAGAATCCTGACACTGAGCTTCTGCCTGTACATCATTGATAGGGCTGCTACAAAATAAAATCATTTCAATTGCCTCTGCATAGCAAAGCAACAGATGCTTGATTCTTCCTGTTAATAGATACATAAATCTCAGCCCTCCTCTCTCCATGCTCTCTGAAGGATCACCAAGAGGGGGAGCAGTGAGATTCAGCACCACCCTCAGTAGGTGCAAGCAGTAATGACCCCATCCTGTGAAGGCACCTGTGAGCGTGGACTCACTTGGCCTAAGTTCTGGCAGGGATCGCTTGGGTGACTTGAAGGATCCATTTTGGTTCACTTCCCTTCTGCTTCCCTTTCTACTCATTTTACTGATTTAGAGTAAGATACAGCAAAGAGCATCATTTTTAATGTGAATCTATTATAGAGGGAGGTACTACTTGCTGTAGATACTTTAAAAGAAGTTCAGTGTAATCTCTCAGCACAAGGCAATACAATTAAAGTTAAGGGAACACATATTTCCTCTTGCTTACTGTGCTATCCTTTCCCTTTTACCTATTTTACAGAATAAATAATTTTATTTAATTTTTGTGTCTACATTATCTACCAATATGAAATGTGTTTTCAAGGTAGAATTTGATGGGGGAATGTGTACGGGACTGGATGCGGCTTACTGGTAAAAGACTGTTTGCAAGAAAATTCAGATAGCTGAACTAGTTTCAATTCTGGCCACGGGGCCAAGAAATCAAATTTCAAATCAGACCTTGGGGCTAGAACTAATGAGGTGTGCAGATGCTACTGCAATAATATCAGGACACTGGAAGGCAAGTGTTACTGGTTTGCTAAGAAGCAACTGATACCGTTGAACTTGCAAGGCCATGCTGCAAAGGCAAAAAAGATCTGAATCAGTAGCATGCACTCAGCTATATGTTACATTCTACCTGTGACACTGAAAAAAAAAATTTGGTCTGTACTGACTATTACGATAGCATTTTCTAAACCAGTGGTAGTAGCAGTGTAACCATACTGCTCCAAATGAATAAGAGATGCAAGATATCTGAGTAGGGGAATTATCTTTTATTAGATCAACTGAAATATCTGAAGACTCTAGGAGGGGTTTTTACTGTTTCCAGTCTAATAAAAATATTATTTCTCCCTACCAGTTTTTTTATTTACTGCATTTTTTGAAGAATAAACTCTTAATCTGCTGATGAAAAACACAGATTTGACTTACTGCTGAGTGAGGCTCAATATCATGGTACTTGCAAGATTTCAGCAGTTTAATAATATTCTATTTTGTAGTAAATCAAGGAAAAGTCCGCATTGAAATGATCAATGACTAGCACAGGAACAGATATTTGAAATGGTGCAAGCTTTACTTATATAATTCACAATTTTATAACAATACTTAACATATGTAAATACAAGTTTATGTCTGCAACAATTACCTTTATAGATGAAAACAAATCATTTCACCACATTCTCATAAATTCATGTGTACAGTAAAATGCTCACAAATGATGATTCATTCTATAATGGAAGCTGGAGAATGTAACTAGTCCAAATATTAAACAGATCTATGTATGCCTTGCCTACTTAAGAAGTTAATTTCAAAATCTTTAAGCACTGTAAAAAATAAATTGTAAAAGTGACAAATATTTGTGCAAGGAAATGTCTCATTTTTTAACAGGAGCAGCACACATCACACTTTATTCTGCAAAAAACCCCACCTTCTATAGTAGCCAATTTAATTTTTTTTTTTTTTGGAAGAGTACAGGATTCGGTTTGAAGTCTTTATTATTGTCATGCAACCAATATTATTTTTTTTCTCCAGTCTACTAAAGAATTTAATTAATAAATATATTTTTATGAAAAAATACTTTTCTATTATGAGAAGATCAAAGAATTTTTGAGGTAAGACTCAGGCAAGTGTACATTAGTCAAAACAGAGGGTGATATTTAGTCACCTACTGGAAGTGTCTGTCATCTTGGGTGCCCTATGGCAGCCTGCCTGCCCTCCATTTGTCATTCTGCAGGTCTGGGTAGCTAAGATATCCTCAGTGTTAGCCACCTACCTATGGATAATTGAAGCAATCTCTAAATCTTTGAGTACTTTCATGAAAACTTACACACTTGGTGAACAATTTATCCCATATGTGAAACATCATGCGGTAGCTAAGACATCCATACGGATTGGTCATATATGGCATAAGACTGGCAGGAAAGGTTCATCCTGCTGGTGTAATTACAGAAATGGGGGTAGGCAGAATATCCTAGAGCATCATAAATCTCACTGCATACTTCAAGCAGGCAAGTGAATTGAGTCCCTCTATAAAGACATCTACATTTAGATGGCACAATCTTGAATGAGATTCTGCCCTTAAAGATTAGTCTGCCAATGCAAACACTATCTTATGAAAATACTGAGCTGGAAGCCACAATGCAGACACAGCTCATTGCATGTCTAGCTTTGGTTCTACAGAATTTTTGTGATCTTTAGGTTTTGCAGTCTCATATTAGGTACAGCGTTGTCTGTATCATGAAAGGGATTAGAGAATCTAGGGTACTCATCACAGCCTACTCCCATATATTCTAATTCAGCATCTCAGAAAGTGATGAGGAGCTGGAAGAGGTTGTCCAGGGAAGTTATAGATGCTCCATTTCTTGAGGTGCTCAAGCCAGGTTTGATGAAGCCCTGGGCAGTCTGATCTGATGAGTGACAGCCCTGCCCATGGCAAGGGGATTGGAACTGGGTGGCCTTAAAGGTTCCTTCCAACCCATATCATGTTGTGATTCTGTGATCTCACCACCATATTTCTTATCTTGCTAGAACAGCGATGATTACTTTTCCTGGCTGAATAAACCACTATATTTGCCTTACTATTAGAGAAGGTTATGTGCAGTGTTTCTACTCCAGCCATATAATGAGCCTACTGCACATCAATCTGGGGACTCTGGGGGGGCAGGGGTGGGGGTAGGGGGTCACACTTCTGCACAAAGGGAGAGCATCTGTTCATTCTGAGAGGGCCAGGTATGCAGAAGGATGTGAAGCATGTGAAGTGCATGACACATGGTTCTCCCAGGAACTATAAAATCCAGGGCTATGTGGCAGCTGGTAGATTAATGTATGTCACTTCCCATGTTGCCTTCTCACTCTGGGATGCTCCCTCACCACTTGACTATTTGGTGATAGGCTGAGTGTCTACGTGCTGCACCAAATCTGCACAAAAAAATTCTGCGTGCTCTTACTACGTTACAAATGAAGAAAACATTTTACCAAGTAGAAAACCCTGTACTAGGTTCTTTGATTGCAGAGCTAATTCTTTATAATGCCATAACCATACAGCCGTGTTACAGCGAAGTAAGCGTAGACACACAGAATATGAAGAAACAGAAGGCAAATCAACTTGTGCTATTTGGCTTCAGGCAAAAATTAAAGCAAGCCATGCTGAGAACTTGTAAACTTTTCTTACTCTGCCATGACACCTCTCTTTGAAGACCGAAAAGTCTACAGCACTGGTTGCAGAAGTGTTTCACTTTCACGTTGGAAAATAGTCATGCAACCAAAACTGTATGCCATCTACAATGGTTCAACCTCCCTTCAATGTGAAGTAGGCAATGAAGAGGTCAAAAAAACTCATTTTCTTGCAAAGAGTTGCTCTAGTTAAATATATATGTATATTTTGTGTCTAGGTGTGCGATTATACTTCTGAATATTAAATTAATTACCTCAATAAGTGGATATTAAGAATCATGGTTGTAATCTGCCTTCAGAATCATGTGATCAGCTCCCATTGGATCATCAATGGGAGACGTGCATGACTTTTATGGCAGAATTCACCATATATTCAAACCAAATTCTGATATATTTCTCTTGCACTGTGATTTCAGAACACTGAAAAGGGACATTTTTGGTCAATAATTAGTTCTACTTTTAAATAATTGTATTTATCCCAAAATGACATGCTGCATAAACCCAGGGCATGCTTTGGAATATTAATTCAGTTTTTTGGTTTTGAAAATGATCCCACCAGTCCTTTCAATTCAGGGACTGGAAAAGTTCTTTTGAAGATAACATTTATTATGCACATCAAAATGCTTCAATGCAAACAGGACAGGCAAGATAACACATTTTAAAAGCTTTCTTGTTTTCCTTTTTTTTTCTTTCTGGCAAACAGGAACCTCGTATATTACTTTTCATTATTATTTTTTACTCGCTTCTCCTAAGCTTGAAGCTATTTATGGAAAGTACAGTACTCATGTATGGTAGCTTCAGTCAAAGATATCAGGATTGGTATGAGAGGAAAATTTCGACTGAAAGCTTGTTATTCACATCATTCTCTTCTCAGCTTGGCAAAGTTGAAGGTTAACGTCATCTGTTCTAGACATTTCAGATTAGTCACAGAACTTTTCTTGGTGGTTCAGTGCCTGGTCATCCAGTCAGAGGAACAGTAATCCATATGGAAAAATTAGCTCAATGCTACTAGACTGGTGGTTAATACTTGAGCCTTAGTTAGGAATGTTCGCAGCATCTTGGGACTCTTTTCTTCCTTGATCAATTTCTTAAAATAGGATTCTTCATCAGAGGCTGAAAAGAGGAGGACTGTACTGAAGTCTTTTTTTTTTTCCATCACCAAGTCTTTTTTAGGAAAAAGATACATATTATTTTAAATGTCCCATGCAAATTTAAAAAAAAAATAAATTACACAATTTGGTTAGGATTTACACTCTGAATTCCTGCACAGTAGTTTGGTTGGTTTGCATCCTTGAATGATAATCTTCAACAGAAGATTTTTAAAAATAAACTTAACGTATAAATGCTGATACACACTGCTGGAAATGTAGTAACTAATAGAATTTTTGAACAAGAAAATATATTGATATTTTCCTTTGGGGTATTTTAAACTCTGCGTTAAGTTAGAAAATTGTTGCTTAACAAAACAAACAGAATATTCCTTTCCATTTGACACGTAGCCTATCCTAAAGGGTTAAAATATCTTGTCTAAATGAAACAGGTGAAAAGGGCAGTGAACTGAGATGTAAAATCTTAGATGTGGTCAGATAAAGGTCAGCCTTTGCCAGTTAGCTTTTATAAACATCAGCTTAAAAGGGCATTTCTGACTTCTGAATCAAAATTGTTAAATGTTTTATTTAAAATACAGATTTAGAAGAAAAAAAATGGCTTCAAAAAACTATGTTTTAAAAATGTAAATGAATGAAACAACTGCATTCTTCTTGGTCTGCAACCACTCTTCAAAAACACTAATTACAAACCTAACACTGAAAAATGTCAAATTTATTTAGATTTTATTAAAATGGAAAATTGAATTGACACAATGAATAATTATATTTAAAAAAATGTTCAAGCGCATCTAGTAAATTCATATTTTCATTTACAATTGCAAGTAGATAAAACAGTTCTGATTGGCTGACTGAACCGCAGTGCTTAGAATTTTAGCTCCTACTAAAATTAGCTTTGAAATTATAATGTGTCATCAAAAGGGACACTGACATTATAAACATCTGTGCAATTATGTCAGTTAGAGATTTTAGGTTTTTCTTTTCTTCCAGTTTCTTTGTGAGTCAACATTTATCAATCAGAAAGAATTCATGTATATTTTTGAGAATTCAGTAAAAAATGGAAAAGATTGCATACCAAAAGAAAATTACTTCAACTTATTTTTAAAAACTTGACATCAAGTGAATCATTATTTTAAATGCATATCAAAACACCTCTAAACAAACATAACAGTCAAGATTATTAAGATATATGGCTCTCACCCTCCCACTAACCCAGGAACTGGCAGACTGAATAACACTATAACTAAAAAGGATATTGTGTCACATAGCAGTTTGAGCATTAAAAAAAAAGAAAAAAAAGAAAAAAAGATACTGATTAAAAAAAAAAACACCTTACCAAAATTGTAGTGACAACTACAGTTCTGTTCTCCATGGCTGCAGTGTCATTTCCAAGTGTAGGTTCATGCTGAATCAGAACTAATTTATCCATGTCATTCCAGTAACCAACCTGCAAAATAAAAGGTACACAGTTTACAGCAGGTAACTTTACACTTGGTGAAATTGCAAATACAGTTATTACATGAAAAACAGTGTGATCAAAAGACAATTTTGCTCCAAAGAAGTGCTGCCGTAGATGGGTGCAGAGTAGTATCCACCCAGCATTTTCTCCATTGTGAGTCTTCCATGACCTCCAGTCCAGGACCTTAAAAAGTTTGTTCCATTGGCACTGACCTTTGGTACCTGCATTACAAGTCCTGTTGTTAATTTTTTTTTTATACTCGGTGGAGAGATGAACACTATAAAGCAGCTCATGAATAATATGCCTTCCCTCTGGAAAATAGTTAATAGAATGAAGAATTTCATACTTGCCTTTCCCTACTCACTCCAAAGCATGATAAGCATGACCATAGTCTGAAAGTCTCTCTGTTAAGTCTGCTGCTGAGGTGAAACAAATTAGTTCTAGGCTTCTGGCCACAGCCCTTCCCAGAGCAGCCTTAAGGTGAAATAACTGTCTTAGTTCACTGCTGGTGCTGAAATACTGAGGAGCCAGTTTTAAACCATCCATGGGAAAAAAAAAGAAAAAAAGAAAAAAAAAGAAAAAGGAATGCCTGGAATCAGAAGCTTTTCCCTTACATACAGACACAGTTTTTGCAGTGCACACCTCTGGCATTTAGTATAACCTGCAGAATCATAGAATCATAGAAACACAGAATCACAGAATGGCTGAATGAACTAATGAACTGAATTTAGCAACTGATTCTTTTTCCCAGGGAAGGTGCAAAAAGTAGCAGTGATCTTAAAGATTCCTTTCAAAGATGAGCAGTTCAAGCTGGCATAGGCCACTCGACTCGAGAAGTAGCTGGGAACTTGTCAGCAATGACTCTTTCTTCCTGCCTGCCTTTATTAATTGGGAGTTCATGAGAACAAGAGGTGAGAGAAAGGAACTCCTTGTCCATCCCACTGGAAGAGGAAGGGAAATTTTAGAGGAAAATGGGGTCTGGTTAGAGTTTCAGTGTAAGTGTATGTGCCAAAGAACAGTCTCTGCCTCAGATAAGACTTCAGTGTGAAGCAAACTGGCTGGGTAATCAGATCAATTATGCAGCCAATATTATTTTTAACGTTTTTTCAGAACCCAGAATAAAACTCATCTTCACATAAGAGTCTATCCATGAAATGTGGTAATCATCTTGTTCAGAACAATGCAGTGATGCAGTAGATGACTCTAGAAGTGCAGGGGAGTTTTTCTGGTTCCTGAGTTCATGTGCATTACTGAATATTATGCCTTCTTAAACTTCTCATTATGTTTAATATTCCATTCAATTCATTTATTAAATTAATTTATTCAGAGGCAAGTCACCTTAGAAGTCCCTAAAGCTATATTCAGACACACTCATCACAGCAGTGAATAGGCATTTGTGAGAATGACAAATATAAAAAGTAGCAGAGTATGGCTGATGAGTGAGTATGAGCCAATATTTTATTTTCAACTAGTGAAGCGAACAGGCACAAACTCTTCCAGGCACAACTTTTGTTACTTCTGGTTAACACATTCCTTTTCTCTTCACTATAACATACAAGCCTTGATTTATGTGTCTACAGCTTACAGAAGCTTCATTTTTGCTGATACAGTGGAGAGGCAGGTTGGTTTCCTAGTAGGATGCACCGCTAACAAATATTCTCTTTCATCTAGACAATCACAGATTCAAAGATAGAATTGATAACTGAAAATGTCAAGTTGCTGTCAAGAACTGGGACCGACTTGAGGCAGACTGCGTACACTGAAACCTGGCAGTTTGGTGAAGCTCGTTATAACAGTGAGTGATCGTTTTTTCATTGTGCAAGTGTTCACTGCTGGGAAGTTCAGAAGGAAGGTGGAAGGTAGAAAATGAATGATGCAGTGTGTTGTAAAAGTAAGTACCATAGCAAAAAGGAGACAGAAATAAAGGAGCTTTTTGAGGAATGGCAGGTATTTTTAAGGGAATTTCATCCTGTGTGCAAAGGTGTTTCCTGGCGTGTACCTCAAACCTGCAGTACATCAACTCTGGAACTGGATTACTAACAAATATATAAGATATATATGACAGATGTATGAGAATATAGGTTTGTAGTAACTCAGAGAGCACTAAAATACATTATGTTTACCTATAAAATCTGAAGTTCTCAGGGGAAAAACTCCTCAAAGGAAATGATTGAATTCAGCTATTATATAAGTAAATCCAATTCAATATGGACTTCCATTAGATTTTTTAGCAGTTTTGTCTACTTACAGAGAGGCTGAATTTATCACTCAGAAAGCAGTATTGCAAAAATATCTGCCTCAAAGTATATTTGTCAAAACTATTTGGCTTTTGAAAGAACAGTGTCATTTCTGAAGGCCTGTGCACCTTATGTCAACCACTGAGGACCTTCTGCTGAAGTCCACAAGTCATTTAAACAATAGATAACTCTAAATTTTTGATAATTTCTATTGTGGTTGACTAAGTTCGAACTCAGAATCCAAATCTTAGACGTGTGAATATATATATAGACTTTGTTTATGTTTTGTTTGCTTTTTTATCTTGACACTATTGTTTTGCAGACAAGAACCTTCTATAGAATGCTGCATAAATGAAAGCAGCAGGAGCATGGGTTATTGTCTCTCATTTGAGAAGCAAATCTGCTTCTCATTAGCTGTGCAGTTTTGTAATACTCTCTTCACAACTTTAAAGCTATAGACAGCAAAAATCACTCTTCTAAAGATTAGAGGCATGTGCTATTCTAACTGGAAAGACTAGTTCTGAAAAGATTGCTGGATGATTCATTAATCATGTTATTTAGGATGTGAGAAGAAGACATTAAAGGTGAAGGCCTCTTAGTTCAATTAAGTACAGTCATTTCTCACATAATATATAGGATTTGTCAGATTGAATGGAGCACAGAATTGGTCCAATGATCACATATAAAATCCCCAACAATACGTAAGAAATAAATTCTTGTGAGGAGCCAGACCTGTCAGAGCTGTTATAGCTGTTTATATTAAAGACAGGTAATGGTTAGAGAGTGGCATAGAGACAAAAGGAAAGCATGTCTGAAAAGATAAGAAAAGCACATTGGGATGCTAGTGCAGCACAGACATAACTCCTTTTTTTGTTACCACCTTTCCCCTCAAATCATTGGCAAGAAGAGAGGATGGAGGACATCCCTGCAGTGGTGCAAGTCAATGGCACATTCCCAAAATGGATGAGAAATGTTGAAACGAGAACAATGTAGCAATTGGGGCAGTTAATTTTCCATTAAGCTAGCTCCCTAACAAGTTACCTAAGTTGTGACCTAACTAACTACACCTTTTCTACCTAAATTTCCCTCTGGTACCACTGGGTTTTGGGGATGGAGAGATTGTACCTCACTCACCAATTGCCTTGGCATCCCAGCTACCTGTACATCCTCCCAGCTGTTGACAGCATGGATTGCAGCCAGGCAGCCAACAAGGTCAGACATTCTCTGGCAGAAGACACAGGGCTTCTCAAGAGAGAAGCAAGACAGATTCATTTTTCCCAGTGCATTTCTTAGCCATATGTCATACTTTCAAAAGTTAACTGCACTAATACACCCGATATGCAGGGAGGGAGACACTTTGCTTTGGTCTACATCTCTATACTAGGATATACTGTCAGTAAGTGCATCCTAATGAGTAATTCTTTAACACTCTGCCTCCTCATCACTGCAACTTGTGATAAACAGTTCATCTGGGATACTATTTACCGAGCTTGTCATGTATGGACAGACAGTGGAGGACTATTTAATCTAATTCTGATTGCCTCAGTCCTACTCAAGAAGCCATGATTCTTCTTCTGATGTCCTAGCACACAAAACATACCATGGTGCCTCCAAAGGAAATAAATCCATTGAGTTCTAGCCCATTTTCTGATCTTTATTTGTTTTATACTATACAAAATAGGAAGGGCTTATCTTTTCAGAATGACTGGGCTGAGTGATGGTCTATGTGCATTCTGACATAGCTGCTGGGACTTATACTATTAGCCTGCCTGACAGACTGACTGAGATTTCACATCTCTAAGATGCACACTTGTTTCTGTATTCCCTAATTTTTGCATGGAACAATAGTATCTAGTAGAAAATAGTCTTTCTGCTTACACCTGACATACTAGCCATGTATTTGATATATTATCCTTTTTAAATGACACAGAATCCAATTTATTTTAAGTCTTTAGTCATCGTAAACTCATCCATCAAAGAATCAGTCATAGATTCATAGAAACATAGAATCATAGAATGGTTTTGGTTGGAAGGGATCCCGAAGATCATCTAGTTCCAGTCCCCCTGCCATGGGCAGGGTTGCCAACTACTAGATCAAGCACTAGATCAGGTTACTCAAGGCTCCATCTCCCATTTACGAAGTATAAAGATAACAAATACTGTAAGCACATACCTTCCGAGGACCTGTGTTCTTCAGCTCAAAGACATCCATAGTGTAATTGACTCTGCGACCATAGTGGTCAAATTGAACATTTCCTGTCAGTCCTTGTATTCGAACCTAAAAATGGAAGAAAAAGCATCATGAAGATCCAGATTTATGTTCTTTACTCCAAATGTCACAGAGTAGTGAAAAATATCTTTTTACCTCACACTCCGGAGGATTAAATGTATAAAATGAATATGTGTTGCTCTTTAAAGTAACCTTGCCAGCAACCTTGCCAGAAAGCAATTCACTATCACAGAGGATGAGTGAGATGCTCAAAGCCTGAAAGAAATGCTTTCAAGACCTCACAGCGAAGGACAGACGTAAAGCCACAAGGCCGGCTGGGGCAGTTTTCCACCACCTGTCTCAGAGCAGAAACCAAAACATGTTTTGTTCTTATAGCTCAGAACTGCTTTACTGGAGAATACCCAGACTGTGGACCTCATTCCAAAGAAATCAGGTCCATATTGCTGCTGGCTCTAATTGTGTCAGGATCCAGCCATGCAAGCATTTTTGGCCAGACTCTGAGGCTCAAGCTGTCCAACCTAACACAGAAGCCTGATTTCATGTTTCTCACAATTATTACAGGTCTGTGCATCTATAGAGACTATGCAAAGCAGATAAAGTGCTTTATTTCTCCTCCTAACAGTCAGAATGTGGATTTAAGCCACTTACTCTTTCCCTTTGACCATTTCTATCTGTGCTGATTTTTCTCCAGGACTGAAACACAGGCTTCCAGGCACAGAGCTGCCAGCTCTGTCAGCAGTCACTTCTCAGCATCTTCTCCTGAACAGAGCCTGCTCATTTGCAATGATTTAAATTCAACTGCAAGATTTTTATTTTTCTTACTGTCCCATCCAAAAGAAAGGCTAAACCATCTTGACAGAGATCTGGAACTTTCTAGGCATCCATATTCATCAGGAATTCAAAATCCTGACATCAGTGAACAATGGCTCTGGGTTATGTCTTTTCAAAGAAAAAAAAAAGAACACTACCTATGTGATTTCCCTGGAAGAAATCTGCATTTATTCAAGATGACAGAAGAATATTTGAAAGGCTATATTTGATAGAAAAATCTATTTCCCTAAATGACAGTATCTGCACAGCCAGGTTACATGCAAAGTGCAACAGATGAACTCAGTATCTCAGTAGCACAAGTCCCAACTATCTAGTAAGACTAGAACTACTAGAAGTTTTCTACAGTTGCAATTCCCTTCTGCATTAATTCCAAATTATAAATCAAAACATCAAAACAGCCCAGGCTGATTCCAACTGGCAACTGACAAATAAATTTCCTCTCTCCCTTGAATATAGTGTCTTCCAAAGAATGTAGTGTACAACTTGTAAGTAACACTCACAAAGATCACTAGAATAAAGTACACCCTTACCTGTTTCAATGTCCTCTCCATATCAATTCCTTGACCCCATGGGGCGGCAGGATTAGCAAGACAATCACCAGCATTTCCTCTTCTTGAAATATCTATTTTCTGCCTTCTAAGATTGCGGAAAGTTTCAGCCATCACAAGCACTCCATCATATGTTAATGCAGATGTATACTAAATGGATGAACAAACACAATGCCTTAGTGTTGGTACACTTTGCAAAAATCAGCTGTCTTGCTTCTTTCTGGCTTGATGCATTACACAGCAGTTTCTACACTTTCATTAAGAAAAAATCTCCTCAGAATCAAAAGCAGTTTTGTCTAAGGGATGAATGCAGGATTGAGAAGAGTACATTCCACTAGTTACAGCTTTCAGACTATTTTTCATAAGGACAGAAAAACCTGCCTCTGAAGAATTATCAGAAGAAACAAATTGAAGATACTAATTTCTCAAACTTTTAAAATATTTGTCTTACCCTTTAGGGAATGGTTTCACACATCCACCCACCCATCCAACTTACTCAAACAGAAAAAAAGAATAAAATAAATAGTAACTGAAAAATGTAATAAGCAAGAATAAATGAGCCAAAATCTAAGTTGCTGGATTTGTTAAGAATGATCAAGAGTAAGTTCTTCCTATTGGAAAACCTCTGTAAGCCCTGTGAATAACACACAGTACTGAACATACTGAAGCACAAAGCTTGGCAGGTCATCAAAGGCAGTCTGTGTTTCTAGACTAACTATTATAACTATTCTAGATTGAGAACATGTTAAATTAAATGCATAGAGTATGTCTTCAGCAGATTTTAGCTAGGAGCATATAAACATAGGAGCACTTTTGCACCTTGGTCCTCCGACGAATTTCCTGCATCAGGAGAAGTGGGTCATAATCCTAGGGCTGATATTGAAATTCCCTTTAAATGCCAAAATGTCAATTATTGAAGGCTAATTTCCTTCCTGTCCTTTGTCTTGCATATTATAAGCCTGTTGGGACATGTTTAAGCTTAAAATCTTGAATTTTGGTTAACCATGGGTGAATTATGTGTGATACTGTTTAATCATATCGACTTCTTAGAAGGAGTTATCACAGTTCTATTCATTGAGAATGAGTCCTGTGGGCTAAATAGTTCCACTCAACAGTACTGTGGATCTCTGCACTCCATAGACCACAGCATCCTTGTGTATTTTTTCCACTCTATGAAACAAACTTCTTGAATATTCAACAAATGATGTCGATATCCTTTGTATTACCTATCTTGATTCTTTTTATAGGCTTTGCCAACTCCTTGCTCTTCTAGCCACAGAATGGTTGATTGCATATCTTTGCACAGAAGAGCCACAATTGGGTCTGACATGTATTCATACATATATAAGTCAGAGCTGTTCTGCTGAATTCATATTTGTAACTATGCTTTGACTTGCCTGACAAGAAAATTATAGGTGACAGAAAAATTTTGTTATCCATCTGTGAAGGATTAGGATAGAGGAACACTGGGATGTAATTGCACTGTAAGATTGTGCCTGAAAATGATTATTACAACAAGTTTTGAGACAGAAATAATTCCAAAGGAAATTCCAGATGAAAATTTAAAGGTACTAAATTTATGACTGTGGTTATATCTCATATGCAGAAGAATTCAGCTGTCAGGAAAGCTCTGCGCTCTAAGTTAATCTAGATAATTAGATTAATTAATGTAAAATATGTTGAAATTAAGTTGTCAGTTCAATGTTTGACCTTTAGTTCCTGTCAGTAAAGAGGTGATTTGCAGTCTGACTGTCAAAAAACAGTAAAGTACATCAGTGAAATGTGTTGCAGTCTGTGTTGCTATCATAAAATCACAAGGACAAGACATAATTAGTTCCCAGTAATAGTAGGATAAACTGCCTTACCTTCTGTCTAAATATTAAGATCTTTACTCATTTATTTGTCAGTGTTAATCAGAAACTGGAACACCTGAGTGATATCTTTGATAGTGCTTCATATTTATCAATACCTTTGGTGGAGTCTCAGATCCTGGGTATTCTCTCTGGTCCAGCTTCTTCCAGCGCTGCATCAACTTAGTTACCATTGGGGTACTGAAATCTACTAGCTGAAATCCCGTCACATTAGCTCCTCCATGCATAAACCTCTCCAGAGAAATATCTTTGAATCCCTAGAAAATCAATTTAAGATTTTGTTTGCCCTTATACATCATTGTGAGTCCAATCTGTTCTAGGTCAGTAAGGCAGCATAAAGAAGGGCAACAGCAGGTTTCCATTAGAAAGACTTAAGCTAAGACTTAAAACCAGAAAATAATATTGAACATTGAAAGTTCATAGTTTCCATTTGTGTTATAAACAAGGAAACAGAACCAGAAAACAAAATTCTCACATTATTGCTGGAGTGGCCTCAACAGCTCAGTAACACATTGTCAGTTTAGTTTTAGAAGGAGTGCATTTGGAGAATTGTATGAAAAGTGCCTGCAGAGTATTGAATCCTAGAATCAATTTCCACTGAAGTTGGTAGATTTTAATGTGCTCGTGCTTGGTTCATTACAACCCTGCTTCTTTTCATGTTTATAAAATGAAGAACTTTATTGTATAAATATATTTATTCCAGGACTCATTGCTTAGGTTGAAGTTATCTGAGTAACACAAGCTATGAAACAATACAATGGGCTTTAGAATGCAGAGACAGCACGAGTGTCTCACTGTTAGTACAACGAAAAAAGGAAAACAGTATCGGAATCAACCTTTTGTGAAATGTGGTGATAGTTCTCAGATCTAAATCTGTCTAAAATCTAAGGTGACTTCCAGCATGGAACAAAAAAAAATAAAGTAATGTACTTCCTGACTTACTGGTTTTAAGGCTCATTTGTCTCAAAGGCACACAAACAAATCTTTTAGTAAAATTTGGCTTTAGAGATGCAACTGAACTTCAAGAGACTGCGTAATGCAAACTGCTAAAGTAAGAAGAAAATATTATTTTTTTGCTGCTACATTTTATGGTATCTCAGGTTTTGATTATTTATTTATTTATTACATTCTTCAATTTCTCTCATTGGCATTTTTCAGTAGAAAGTGAAGTCTATTATCATATAACTTCAAGAAAGATTTCAGAAAAAATAATTGTGGGCCACTGACCCAATACTCCACATGAAAACAAAACAAAATAAACCCAGAGATTTACAGACAGAGATTTATTTCCTAAAGGAGACTAACGTTGAAGGTGAGAAGCGACACATCAGGAAGTCATATTGCTCATGTTATTGAACAGCTGATAGATAGGAGCATGCATCCATGCTGAAGCTCTGAGTGTCTCCACTGTATATCCTACTGTTTACAGCAACCACTTTGTGTGGAAAAGGTTGCTTGGGGAATTCTAAATTTGGTATGATGAAAATCTAATTTGCAAGACCATAAGAGGATAGACTTCTCTCATTTCAAAAGCCTTAGGTCTTAAAAATAATCTGAAGTGATCTTAAGGTACCAGTATACCAAAGCACAGTAACATATTTCATATCAGCTAAAATTCCTTGAGGGAAGAATAAAAAGAAAACAATTGGAAGAACGCATTAGACTCTGCCCTACATTCACTCTGCTTGACCAGGAAGGTATTCAACTTGAAAAATGAGCCCATTTTAATAACAAAATATCATATTTGTCCTTAATTTGCCTTCTTCTAAACATTATTCGTGTTAAAGTGCTGTTTAGACTTAGAGTGAAAATACTGAATTAGTGATTTGAAAGGGAGTAGCTGCTTTTCATGTTTACAAAATGAATTTTCCCTACACAGTGTAGGAAAGTTACTCCAATAATTGTTTCACTATCAATATTAAAAAGATGAGTGAACACTGATAGTGTAGTTCTGTAAAGGCATCTGATTCAGCCAGAGGAAACACATAGCAGTTCTTTACTACGTTGATTTTGATTAGATTTAAGAAGATAACATTTTATCTTTCTTTCTTGTATAGATGGCAAAACAACAGAACCAAGTTCTTTTACACGCTCTAAAGAATGTATTATATGCAACCACATATTCGTGACAAAGGCAGATAAAGTTCTGAGTCTACAAAGCAAAACTGAGTGTTTCACTTACCAAGCAGAGGTATAATTCTAGAAAAGGATCTTACCAAGTTGGCAACAATGTAATGGTATCCTTTAACATGCTTTCCCACGCTCACAATCTGTAGGAGAGAAATAAGAAAGAAAAAGAAAAAAAGAAAAAAAAAAAACCACAAAAACCTGTCATACAGTGTTTTCATAGCCATATAAATTCTGCAGCATTTAACCTTAGCAATATAACATTGACAGCCTTACTCCAATAAAGTAGCTATAACTTTCCAGGTGTTTAATCATGGGAAAAAAAGTTAAAATTAAAGTGGGTAAAGTAATGAACTGGTAATCTGAGTGCCTTCCATATGATTGAAAGTGTTAGTGTAGTACACTATTTCATCAAGTACAGCAATTACCTGCAGGACACAAATTCAGAAGCAGGAGGTCACACATTAGCTAGAAAGCCTACCTCCTAATGTACTTTTTCATTTCAAATGAGTGCAGCATTTATGAATCAAACTGGGTTTTCACCTCTTGGGATCAAAGCTTTTTGCCCTTGAGGTGGTCAAGTACTCTGAGCGTTATTCACTTCTCAGTAATAAACTGAAGATTGAAGAATGGAAACGAGCAAGGACAGAGCAAGAAGAGGCGGCCAGATTTGCTGCTGTGAAAGTCCCTTCTCTCCAGCTGTGAGGGGCTTCTGGTGACGCAGGAGGTGAGGGGCAACACAGTGCTTGGTCTCAAGGGGAAGCCATGCACATTTAAGCCTATAGCCAGCATCTAACATCAAGTGACACAGAGGGGGAACACTCCTGATGTGCTATGGTCTTGATACAGCAAACTCAACAACAGAGATTAGACAAAACCAATGTCAGCCCAAGCCTTGTACCAATATTAATGCCATTTCTATGACAGAGTGCCTATTTGATGTCCTGAACACCAAAAATGAGGAGGGAAAGTCTTCTCAATAGAAAATAGCGCTAATAGATTTGTTAGACTTTAGAAGTGTTTTTACTAAATAAACTTGTATTGATACCCGTGGTACCATGCAACTTGTGTTTAATGCCAGCAAAGAGCCCTTTAACTCTTATTTTCATATATATTCAGTGTTTACCATTCACTTTAAGAAAGTCTGCTTGTAATCAAATGTATCACAGAATCACAGAATTATAAAAGTTGGAAAAGACCTCTAAGATCAAATCCAACTGTCAGCATATCACCACTGTGACCACTCACAGAATCATAAAATCATGCTTTTTTCTCCACAAGCACTCATCCCCACTATACATTTTTATCTTCCTTTCAAATGAATAAGTAAGATATAGGTAAATGTTTGCCATGTGCTGCACACTGATAATAATTAATTTCATTATTTTAAAGTAATAAAATGAATATGCAATTTGTTATCATTTATTAATATCAGTAATTAAATTTCTTTTTTTTTTCTTTTTTTTTTCCCCGCTGTAAATAATGAATTCACTTCCTTGCTAGTACAAGGAGAGACTTGAATGGTTTCAATGGAAATGTGATCTCCAACATCAGTAATACTTTTACATACATACTTCCTCCACAGTCTGTGGTCATGACAATATGCTTGCTTCCCTACTTGAGGGAAAATGATAGAGATTAAAGCCCCACAATTTGAACATATACAGCATCACAGTTTCAGTGTAAGAGGATGTGATTTAAAATGAATGCAGTGGGATAACCATGGGCCAGATCCAGCTTGGGAAATCACTGCAACTCCCTTTGAGCTCTTAGGACCTGATATAGCTTTGGCAGTTAACATCCTTAGTGATTCGTTCCTTGGTGTGGTTTTGTAACACAAATTATGATAATCATTGAACATACTGCTTATATTAAGCATGCACAAGGTAAACATGCATCAATTGAGGTATATCATCTATATTTCTGTAGTTTTTCACGTAGTCAAAATCAGTAAATATTGCAAATGATTAAATGGATTTGCCTCTGTTCTTTCTCTTAGCAAATGCATGTAGAAATGACTGCAGAATTCCCAGGTTTAATATTAAAAATACAGAATATTTATGAAAAAAGGAAAGATTTTTGTAAGCATATTCTCTCAAAGTTTGTTTCTGAATAAAGGTACACATCTACATATCTAGTTGTCCGTGCTTCCTTTAGTCAGTAGAAAGAACAGGCACTCGGAGGAAATGATTCATCTTATTCTGAAGTACACGTCTAAAATTAATTAGACAGCTTGTGCCCTGAAAGTGCTTATTTTTCTCCGCTGACTACAAGAAGAGTTGATGATGATTAGACCTGATGTAGGCACCTACATTTTATATCCCTAGTGTTAACTGAGATGAATTTCACCCTAAAAATGTTGATCACACAGACAGAGAAAAGAAAAGATGTTATACGCTTGCATTTTCAACAAGATTAAACACAATTCTGATTTTTATCACTCATGATTTAGGAAAAAAGTGCCTGTTTAGTGAAAATAGCTTCCACCTTTATCTCTTGAATTCTTAAAGGTGCAGCTTTATGGGATAGAAGTCCTTGCTACCTGACGAACCATCCCTCTTTATGTTATACTTCTGCACTAAGATAAATTTCTAACAAGAAAAGGAACTTCTCAAAGACCTCCACAGACTTAAACATTTTCCTTCTCTATCCTTTAAGTGACATCAGTGCCTGGAGTCTTTAAAAGAGATGAGACTTTGACCATAGAAGCTATAGCCATGAATTACACAGTAAAGACATGAGTGCTAGTGAGTCAGGAAAGAGTATTTTTTTCTTGTGGTAGAGCTGAGGAGTAAGGTTAAAAAAAAGAAACGGACATTTACTCCGCAAGAGAAAAAGAGGACTGAGATTTTGGTAAATGAGGTATCTTCCAGAAATCTTTTGCTATAGAAATTCTCTTAGTTGGGAGATACCTTAAAACACATGCCACCTTGTACATTCCCAAATTTGGCCAAAAGGCCAAGCTCAGTAACAATGTAGAGATAGGACAGAGTTGTACTATCATCTCCATGACAGCAAGCAGCAAACTCCATAAGATAGGGAGTACATAGCACAGGTGTTTGTGCTAGGGAGCTGGAATCCATTCCAAGCATGGTTCAGGGTTTTACTCTTGATTGTCACTAACTTGCTCCTTGGACACAACTCACAGTGGAAGCTAGTTCACATCTAAGGCATATCTTCTCATTTGGCATCACCCAGAAGAAATTGATGTATTCAGAGACCACAGGACACCCTTGATGTGAAACACAGCGCAAATAAATGGCCACAATCAGGACATCCACTCCAAAAAGCACATTCCTGAAGCAAATTAAGATGCTGCATGTGCATGTGGGACAGGTGGCAGGCGCAATTATGGTGTGAGATTGGGCCCTGGGAGCTGTCTTCATTTCAAAATGGAGGCCCTGAAGAGAGGCTGAGGTGTCACAGCCCCATGTGGTGGCCCTGCCATGAAGCAGCCCTGATGCAGCCTGCACCCAGCCCAGCACAGAGCCTGGGAGAGCCTGGGAGAGTCAAAGTATTAACTACTACTCACACTATTAGTGAATATTTTGTTTTAGTAAATGTAGCAACAGAGAATCAAACAAAATGAAATACTAAGGACATCAACTATCAGTGCCTTATAAGAAGCTAACACAATTTTTTTTTCAAAGATCATTTTGTATGTCTGTCTTTAAGTCCACAAAAAGATGAATTTAGAAAAAATATAAAACACTATTATGCTCTATTGAAAATCACTCACATTATTAAATGCATTTGTGTGTAAGAACAGTGTATTGTGAGAACTTTTTCTTGTTGATCTAGCATGCCTTATCATGGAATCACAGAATCATCATAGAATGACTTGGGTTGGAAGGGACCTCAAGGATTATCCAGCTTCAGTCTCCCTGTTGCAGGCAGGGCCACCAACCTCCACATTTAATACTGGACCAGGCTGCCCAGGACCCCATCCAACCTGGCCTTGAACACCTGCAGGGACAGGCATCCACAACATCTCTCGGCAGCCTGTTCCAGCACCTCACCACTCTTATAGCAAAGAATTTCCCCCTGACATCCAACTTAAATCTTCCTTCCTTCAACTTAAAACCATTTCCCCTTGTCCTGCTGTTATTATTCTTATCTTATTCTGTAATGTCAGTAATGTCAAGTGATAATTACAGTAGTCAGAATAATACTCTTGACTTGGAAGTGTGGTAAAAGCAAAGCCAGGGAGATCTGAATGAAACTTAGGCTTTATACACAACTTGGAACTTTTTGACTTTACCAAGCAACACTATTCATTATATTTAGCTGAACAATAGTCTGGTTTAGGAAATGGGAATTATTCCATTATCAAAAAGAAGAAGAGGTCTAAGTGTCTGCTTTTATGCTCTCTCTCTTATTTGTTGTTTTTATTCCCTTCAGGACTGGTATGTTCACAAACTTTGATAAAGCCATTTACAGACTTACATCAGTGTCTGACCAGAGAATTAGACTCCAAGTTAGTCTCTGCCCTTCACTGCCACAGAAATGGATATTGCATATAACTCATTTTAAAAGAATGCTTAACTTCCATAGCATGAAATCTCTCTCATTATGTTTTCCAACAGATGAAGGTCAGTAAAGGTAGTGTGGAAAGAATTTCTTTTCAGTTAAATATCTTCAAAGGGTGATAGTTTTTCATTACCGGTGGGACTTTAAAAAAGGTTCTCCTCTTTGGAATTGTCTCACAATCCACTTCCTTAAAAAAAAGAATACATGCAATAAAATGAAGTCTGTCTAACACAATATAAAAGGTCTAGGGACTTGTTAAAGATGGAAGACTGAGACTTGACCTGAAATATTCTAGCAGAAACAATGATGATATAAAGCACAACTGAAGTGGGATTTTATAAAATATCTGATGCAAGGATAAATCTTTTACAAAGCTGTAAAAATGCCATTGAAAAACATGCTTAATTTTAAAGCCTATTGCTCTCAAAAGGGCACTATAGCTGGGGAGATGGCGGACAGTTAAAAGCCTAAAGTCATCACGGAGGGTAGGATGTACAAGAAGGTGATGAACAAAGCAGCAATGTTTGTATACAATCTACGTGTTTCTTCCTGAATTGTGCAGTGGGTGTGGAGCAAGCTGGGTGGCTGAACACCAGTGACACAGCCAGGGATGTGCAGTGAGGGAGAGGCAGGAAGAGTATGAGAAGAAGGTCACTTTACAAATCTCACAAACCATTTGTATTCATCCTTTGTCTTTGCCTATTTGTTTGTTCATGAAATGAGCTATTTCTTGGGTCCAAACCTCATCAGTTTGCGGCGCAGTGACAAAATGTATTTGTATTACTTTGTGGTGTGGGCCTATTACTGTGTGCAAAATCCCAGCTGCTCTGTAGAAAATGAACCTAGGCAGGGAGCCCCTGCTAACTGCAGGGTGAGGAAGACGTTGGTAGCAGCGCTGGCAGCTAGCTGCCTCAAAGAGCTATCAGATTACATTGACATCAGTGTTAGAAGCAACTCCATAGACCTCTAGGGGAAAAGCAAACAAATACAGAGGGACAGAAGTGATGAGGAGAAGGCACATTATGGAACTCTCCAAACCTTTTGGATGAAGAAAAGATACAAAGAGTGCTGCTCCTATGGCCCTGAAGCATCCTAAGTCCAGTGATGCTGCTTCTGGCCCAAATTAGTGTGCTCTGCATGCACCAAAATCTTTGGCTGATGATCTGCTTCTGTGTTACTCTGTGAGAAGTACTAAGCCTACATTTTGTTCAACTAAATCAAAAGAGTGAACAGGAAATGTGGAGACAAGGAGAGACTAGGCAAGTTCATGGCACTTTCAACTCAAGGGATAAAGAAATCCTCATTGTGCAACCAAATGTAAAAAAAAAAGGCGAATCTCTTGATAAACACTTGTACATATTGAGATGGTGATCCTCTATGCTTGTATACTTCAATCAGAGGAGATTGTAGAGGAATGATTGAGCTCATGTTCTGCTGCATTCATGTATCTGGTTAATTTCTGCTTCTCCATAAGTATTCTGCTTCAATTTATTATTCTCAATTAATTGCTCTAGATATCACTTGTAAAAATGTTAGTTGCCAGTTTCAGTTAGCAGACACACTGAAAATTCAGCTAACAAACAACATATTTTTTAAAACAGCAAAAATTACAGGTTTATCAATTTAGAAAGCTTCAGCAATCAAACATTGCTTTTTCAGGTTTACCATGCGAGTGGCAAAATACTGCAATCAGAATAAGAAGGAATGGAATACGTCAGTTTCTGTATTTTTCACTGCTTACACATTCATTTACTTTCATTTTGCCAGTAACAGTAATAATCAATCGTTCAAATGGCAGTCTGCTCCATCTTACCCATCAGACAGATTTGGTTTGGAGTGCTAACACTACCATGGTACTTTCTGGCAGAATATCTCAAGACTCTTTCTTTAAGGCTAGGGAAGCTGAGGATCAGAGGTGGAAAACAATACATTGAAAAACAGAGTTACTCAGGCAGTTATAAACAGAGCCCAAGGCACCAAGCAGTTACTTCCCTTCCATGCTTTATAATACATATAGTTACATGCTATTAATTAAAGTTTATTGGCTTGTAATTTTTACAAGATTAACAATACTAGTACTTTGCTGTGTGACAACTTTACACCTGTGTTTAATTTTTAGTATTACAAAATGCAATGAATGTTCTTTTTTATGATTATGTATAAATTCAGCTGTGTGCACTGAAGCACTAAATACATGCCAGATGCTGCACAGCAGTTTTCACCTCTGTATTTAAAGGCGAATGCAGCCCTGGACGAGCAGAGATGCTTCATCATGCCTATACAGAGTGCTGACAGAGCTGAGAAATCTACTGGGAAATATTCCATTTAGCTCCTATGTGAGAGGGCTGGAAAGAAGAAAAAGACTGGGATCAGTCGGTTGGGAAGTGCAGGAGCCAGACTGAGTATCTCTGACAGCAAAACTGAATTGCAATGCAAAATTCAGAAGATGCTGCTGCTTGCAGCAGACACCTTGGAAGACTTTTTTACACATGGAGTGCTGAAGTTTGAACTTTGTGAGATGGCGATGGAGGGAGAGGATGGAACTGCTATTGGCAGAAGAAAGGAAAGGAAATTCATTGCTGTTCTTCCAGAAAGGATTTTTTTTTTTTTCCTGAATCAAGTTCTTTATATGGCTATGCACGTATTTTTTTACACATACATGTATGTACAGACACAGAAGCTCTAGGAATGCGCAAATTAGGAATACCAACATGCTCTTTTGAAAAGGAGTAGACACAGAAGTGCTAAGCAAATGCACTCATATCTAGCATGTACTTTTTGCCTTTACTTGGCCGTGCTTTGTATGAAGGTCATCATGCAGACATGGTTAAATTTAATTCCTACTTAAAATTTACCTAAGAAAACTATGAGAAATTACAGAGACTGCAGCAGAGCTTTCAGCAGCACGGAATGAGGAGCCAAATTTCTGAAGAAACAGGTGCCCTCTTAGTGAAGAATATTTTAGATACAGTCACTTGCAATAGCAATATTTTTTGTCCAGACCATTCTCCTGACTCAGTAATGAGAGCAGGACAGGAAGGGCACACACAGGCTAGGAATAAGCTTTACAGGAAAGGTCCTGGGAATTCTGGTAGAAGAGAAGGCTCGGGAGGGACTTCATTGCAGCCTTTCCATACTTAAAGAATACTTATAAACAAGATGGATACCAACTTTTTACATCATCTGGATGAAAGGACATGGGGGAGACATGGGAGAATCATTTAGAAGAAAGGAGATCTATTAGAAAGGGTTAGATATTACAGGGAAATTTTCCTCAGGGTGTGCAGAAGCACTGGCACAGGGTGCCCAGAGAAGTTGTGAATGCCCCATCCTTGAAGGCATTAAAGGACAGGTTAGATGAAGCCCTGGGCAGCCCAACTTGGTGGGTGGCAGCTCTGACCACAGCAGGGTGGATGGAATTAGATGGGTTTGTAGGTTCCTTCCAACCAAGCCATTCTATAATTCTGTGATGTGTTTCTATGAGCCAGTCATGTATCATCACAACAACAACAACAAACTATCAGCCTCTTGGGATGCATTGCCAGCAGGTTGAGAGAGATGATCCTTCCCTTCTGCTCAGCCCCGGTGAGACACGTTTGGAGTGCTGTGCGCACTGCTGGGCTCCCCAGTGCAAGAGACATCGACACACTGGAAGGAGTCTGCCAAAGGGCCAAGAAGGAGTCTGAGGTCTTGGAGAACCTGATGGAAGAAGAGAGGCTAAGAGAGCTGGGACTGTTCAGCCTGGAATAAGAAGTCTCAGGGGACATGCATTAATGCCTGATGGAATGGTATAGGGAAGAGGGTACCTAACTCATCGTGGAGGTGCATAACAACAGAATAAGAAGCACTACGGGAAATTTAACTAGATATTAGATTTTTATTATTTTATTTTTTACGAGCAGGTAGTCAAATGCTGGAATCAAGCGTAGACAGGCGGCAAGATCTCCATCCCTGGGCCCTGGAAGTGTTCAAAATTTGACAGGGGAGCTGAGTAATTAGTCTAAGCTTGCCCCATTGAGAAGTACTTGGTCCAGATGACCTTCAGAGGTCTGTTCCAATCCATTCTGCTGTTCTATGATTGTTTGTGGAACAGGTCTGTTAGCATCAGTATTTCACAGCCTGAATTTCACACACAGATCTAAATCTGCCTAAAAATAAAACTCCAGTCTTCTTCCTGGCAACTTATTTGCTCTGTGGTATTTCATACGTGCTCCCAGCAAGAAGTTTGCCAGAAAAATAAATAGGGGACCATAAGAGTTAAATTTCAACTTCAGTGTTCATGTTTTTGGTAGTTTTGTTATACGATTTTGAATGTGTGGGGGGTTTTTTTGTTGATTTTTTTTTTTTAATTTGATTAACAACAAAAAGCAATGGAAGTGGGCCAAAACAGTTATAATTAACAAATTATCCACTGCCATCTAAATAATTCTTACACTTTTCAACTTAATTGTAAAATCTATTTGGAGCACTGACCTCATTGTACATGTACGCACATTTTTGAACACTATACAAACTGAAAGTTACAGCAGTGTCATCAGCTATGGCTGATCAAATGACAGTATGTGTCTCCAGTGATACATATTATTAGTGTCTGGAAAAGTAAAAAGAACAAAAACGTGGTTAAACAGATGATACATTTGCACTAAAATCTTCAAAATGATTTTCTGTTGTTCTCCAAATCTGTTCACAAGTTCATCATTTTATTGCATTTCATTCTAGCTTGAAAGTTAGCAAATGAAGAAATAACAAAAGAAATCTATGACACGTATCTGCTGAAGGTACATTAATCCTGCTAACTAAATAGAAGCACATCTTAAAGAGTGACAGGACATCTTCTTAAATGTGTGCGTTTTACTATGCATCCATAGTTCTGCTTTTTCCAGATATTACTTTTTCACTACTGATCTGTGTGTCTGTCTATCGGTTTTCCAGGAAAATATCTTTTAACGCACTGGGCACAGTGTTGGCTATATTTGAAAGGAAGATCATGTCTCTAGGACATCACCTAAGATATCTAAGACACTTAGTCTGTATTGTGCTCACTATTACTAACAGAGATCCATCTGATTTAACCAAAGGGATAAGACAAACCCAGGTACTCAGACTCCTGCCTGACAACTCGCCAACCAGCACATGGGCACAGCCTGGTTGGTCAATTTGTGAACATTTCTGGTTAGCTATATAGAAAATGCTATTTCTCGCTTCTTTGGTACCTATGTGGGAGGGAGATTTTTATGGTACTGGTTGACAGTGCTAGACTGAAAGGAAATCAGCACCCACAAAACCCCAAGGGGGGTTTTGTCAGTCCTTACTTCTTGCTGTTCTAATAACTCTAACCACAGCTTCATTTTCCTATTTTGGGATTAAAGATACAAATCAAACAATTAATAAATACTAATCAGAATTTAAAAAAATACAACAATAAATGTTAAACAAACAACTAAGCCTGACTTGAAGCTGGGCTTGCTCATCCTGGAGAAGAAAAAGCTGCAGTGTGACCTCACTGCAACCTTAAAGTACATTAAGGGAGCCTACAAACAGGAGGGGAGTCAACTCTTTGAAAGGGTAGGTAATGGCACAACAAGGGGAAATGGTTTTAAGTTGAAGGAAGGAAGATTTAGGTTGGATGTCAGGGGGAAGTTCTTTACTATGAGAGTGGTGAGGTGCTGGAACAGGCTGCCCAGAGAGGCTGTGGATGTCCATCCCTGCAGGTGTTCAAGGCCAGGTTGGATGGGGTCCTGGGCAGCCTGGTCTAGCATTAAAAGGGGGATTGGTGCCTGCAGCGGATGGGGATATGGGGGGTGGAGCTTGATGTCCTTTCCAACCCTGGCCATTTTACAATTGTATGATTCAATGACTTGTTTTTTTTTTTGTTTTTTTTTTTAATTCAAATGGAATAGCTATTTAATATTGCCTTAATTTGGTCTTCCTCAGTAATAAATAAAAACAGATTTCTTTTGTAGGCTTATTTATTTTGAAATGTGAGTTCTGTATGTATATCAAACAGAAATTTAGTATCTACATAATAGGAAAGAAGTAATTATTTTCTAATTTTTTTTTAATAGATTCCCCTTTTATTCTAAAGCTGACCTGACTTCTGATTTTCAGTGAAAAAGCCAGAAATGCAAATACACTAACATAGAATGTGGGACAAAAAAAAAGAATGGGCATAATTAAGAGAAGAAGGAAAAATTCTTAGTGAAATGTGAGAGAAACACACAAGCCTGATTCTCACAATGCAGTTGATGCATAGTTAAGCCTGGACTTTTCAGCTATTGTACTGCTTCCTATAGTACTGGTGGATTAGTTGTATGAAATGGAGTCTCATTAATTGCATGAAATAGAGACTCATCTGGAGTAATGTATCCAGGCCTGGAGACCCCAGTACAAGAAAGAGGCAGAGTTCTTGGAACGAGTCCAGACGAGGACCACTAAGAAGATCAGAGAGCTGGAGCACCTCTACTATGAGGAAAGGTTGAGGGAACTGGGCTTCTTTAGTCTAGAGAAGAGAAGGCTCCGGGGAGAACTCACTGTGGCCTTCCAATATTTGAAGGAAACATATAAACAGGAGGGTGGAATGGCTGCTTATGTGGGTGCATATTGATAGGACAAGGGGAAATGGTTTTAAACTAAGACAGGGGAGGTTTAGGTTAGATATTAGTAGGAAGTTTTTCACTCAGAAGGTGGTGACACACTGGAACAGGTTGCCCAAGGAGGCTGTGGATGCCCCATCCCTGGAGGCATTCAAGACCAGGCTGGATGTGGCTCTGGGCAGCCTGGTCTGGTGGTTGGCAACCCTGCACATAGCAGGGGAGATGAAACTGGATGATCATTGCAGTCCTTTTCAACCCAGACCATTCTATGATTCTATGAAATAACATTACAAAGTTTTTAAAATATCAATTACATGTAGAAGAGATTATTCTTTTACAATCATTGTCTCAAAGCTTGCTGGGGACACAGATGGACAAGTCCAAGCAAGTCCTGGGCAAGGGTTGAGAAATCCTTTGTCTGGATAAAAGTGATGGACAAGTCCTGGGCAAGGGTTGTGAAATTTTTGTCTGAGGGACTCAGATGGACAAGGCCAGGAGCAAGGAGAGAGAGATAAGCTGCAGCTTAATGGCTAGAAGCAGTCTGCTGTGTGGACTTATCGCGAAGAAGATGGCCATCTCCAGAAGTGCTGAATGTGACTCTTACACAAGTGCCTAGGAATGCCACGATGGCAGAAGAAGAAGGATAAAAAGAAGAGCTACAATCATGATGTTTAGGTTTTCTGCCAACAGATTCCTCACGAAGAAGAAGAGGTTTCTGCCATATCACACAGAATCATAGAATCACCTGGCTTGGAAGGGACCTCAAGGATCATGTAGTTCCAACCCCCCTGCCTAGCAGGGCCACCAAACGTACACATTCAGATCAGGTTGCCCAGGACCCCGTCCAACCTGGCCTTAAACACATCCAAGGACGGGGCATCCACAACCTCCCTGGGCAGCCCGTTCCAGGGCCTAACCACTCTCCTTGTAAAGAAAAGGCCATGAGAAGCCTCACGACCTGCCTCTTCCTCCTGGACTTGATCTGCACTCAAACAGAAAATTTTGTGTGCTAATTTCAGAGAAGCACTTTAGAAACACAATTGGAAAGAAGTGACACATAAGCAGAGTTTTCCATCTCTCTTAGTGATTTTCATTCTTGGATTCAAAAAGAATTTTGCCGTGCTCTTTAAAGATCCCTTGCAGAACGTATTATGGCTCACAGTAGAAAGAGTTGTTGAGAAGGACATCACAGTCCTTGACACAAGAATATGAATCACTAGAATTGTCTTCAGCTACATAAACTGTATCTGTTACACAAAACTACGGATATGTCATTTTATCTATCTAGATCTTTGGTTTAGTTCCTTTTTTTCTATTCCGTCCTGCTAAACTGGAAATCTAATGGTAAGAAACTATCTCTAATTTCATGCAGGTAGGGAAATGGGACCTTTTCTCTCTTCCTAGTCAGTTATGCAATAGAAATAGAGACTATCATAATTTTTTAATTAAAAATGTTCAATATTTTTATTTTGACTGTGTCAGAACAAGTGAAAAAAAAGGCCAGGTAAGTGAACTGGGGAAACACTTCATTAGCTTTAGAGAAATCATTTATAAGGTTTCAGAAAACAATCTGAGAAGCATAAAAAGTCCTCTGCAACTGCAAAATGTAGATGTGCTTTCTCCAAAATAGAAGCACACGTTCTGAAGTTCTGAAGAAATCTGACATGTAGCAGATTGTCATGTTATTGCTCTCCATGCTCCTGTGTGGCTCTAAGACTCACAATTTTGGGATGAACAGCAGCACCAGCATCAAGCCTTGTGTCTGGGCTTGTACTACAGAAAGGATAAGATGACTGAAAAGCTAGAGATTTTTCTTACCATTTGTGTAGTCTTTTCCACTGCTGTTAATAGAATGGAAAAGGGTAAGCAAAGAAAAACTTACGGCAAAGGTATTGATGTTTGTATTTGGTCTTTCATAGCTTGGGATTTCAGGAAGATGAGGTATGCTAGAGGTGTGTATAGAGGAAGAATCTCACTCAGAGATAACCAAAAGCATTTCTCGCTATAGTGGTTATATGATATTAAGGAATTAGGGTGTTCTTTCACTATCCTGACAGTAAAATCTGAAAAAGAGCTAAAATTATCTTGGTACACTTGAGTTACGGCAGATTTTTGAGAGTAAGTGGATGAGTACTGACTCAAGCCGAAGATACTGCTTCTCTCACTGAGGAATCAAAGGAATGAATCAAAGCAATTATGACCTTGCTCAAAGTGATACCTTTTTCCAGTGCTTAAACTCAGCCATGCCAACTGGCACTACTACAGAAACCAAGTGAAATGTTTCTATCAACACCAAATATCTCTACTATCAACCAGATAATGTGTAGTCCTGTGTGGGGGAGCATGGCTAAGGAAGAGAAACATAGCATTATTGAGAAAACCACGATGGTGTGGCTTGGCATAGCCTCAGAAGGGAAAACTCAAAACTTGTTGTGGGCAATCCAAGTAAATTAGATGTAAGTACCTGAGGGTAGGCATCTCCTGAATTTAACACTTATTCTACCATCCCTTTCTAGAAAATATCAAAAAATCAGCCTCACTACAGAAACATAAAAATCTGAAAGGAAAACTATATAATAAAAAATGCACATGCTGGCTTGTGCACAGTTCTGGAGTTTGGATTTCAGATACATTGTTGTGATCCAGAAAAGAATATTCCATGAAGACAGACCTCAAATACGGAGTGGGTACAGCTTCTGCCATGAACCAAGGCATGTGGAAAGGTGAAATTTCAGAATAGCTTATTTCTTAGGTAAAATTAATCCTATCCAAACTAGTCAGTAGTCAAATGAACGACTTTCTGAATGTGTTTATATGACTGGCTAAGACACAGGAACATTGTAAATTAGGTATAACTCCTACCCTTGACTGTCTCAGAACAGTTAATGGAAAGAGGACTCCGTCAGCTTTCAGGCTTACCCTGCAGAGGCATTAGCCAGATTCACAGTGTCTGACTCACCCTGTTGAGGACAAGCACTGCTTTTTTTATGACTTGTCATAATGCACTAAGTGCTTATTTTAGGTAGCTAAAATCCAGACCTCTATGAAGTCACAGGAGGTCAACACCTAGTTCCATTAAAATCAATATCCAGTCCAGTTCTGAATGATCTGAACAAAGAGCACAAGGTTACGCTCGAAAAGAATTGACTATGCAGGTGATAATCGAGAAAAAAAAAAAAAAAGAAAAGAAAAAAAAAGAAGAGTAGCTTCAGGAAGGAAATAAAATGCATGTCTGAGATCAGTGAGTTCTGACTGTGTGTCAAATTACTTCGTTGCCTGTGCAACTGAGTGCATGCTCAATGCATATACCTATGTAGGATGGTGGATGTATTCTGGACTCCTGGTAATACAGCATATTTTTTCTAATTCACATTTGCATGCTGTGTGAAAGAAATTATATGCATATAAATCCACACACAATAAAGCTGAGGGGATAAATATTTTTCTAAATATACTTTAAAAGACACTCAAATGGGTGTTCTGTTTTACTGCAACATAGGCTGAACCTGGGGAGATTTTCATCATTACTATAGAAAGCATGTGTTAAAATATAATGGCATCACTGACACAAAAAATGGGCAAATGAACATCATAGCAATACAACATCATCTATTTTTCTCCTGGCAACAGTGACAGAAAAAGTCCTTTCTAAATCAGCCATATGATTAATTCTCAATTTCTCTGTCTTTCGCCTTTAAAAGAAAATGTGATGCATATATGTCTGTGAGGATTACTTTACATGCTTTTGTATCACAAATGGCATTTTTTAATTCTGTGATTTCAGCAGCAGATGCATCAGGATTCAGTGTGAGCAGCGCTGTGCGGGCCCCGCTGCCAGCAGATGGCAATCCTGTCTTGCAGGTCCTGCACTGCCAGTGGGCAGCGAACCTGGCCCCCCAACCGTGGGATCACTGAGGAGTGGATAGGTGACCCTAAATTACTCTCCCATTGCTTTACAAAATGCTCCTTTCAAGGAATTATTTTATTATTTTCCAGTATTTAAGACCTCATTCAAGCACTGGGTAAAGACAGGTCTATATGCTGGAGCAGATACTGCTCAGTGCAAGCTATCTGTGTGGAACAGTGTTTTCTTTACATAACAGCAGCTTTCTGTGAATAACTCATGGAAGATCCTGGCCTTCCTTCTCAGTTCAACAGCACCTATATCCTGCTGTTCTCCATGTTCATACACAACCTCCTAAGGTAATAAAACTATCAGCTTAAATATAAACAACAATCAATAGAAAACATTTTATAGCTAGAAATACATGGTCTTGTGAATTGCAAGTAATACAAGATTCAAATAAGCTTTTTTTTTTTCTTTCTTTTTTTTTTTTTTTTTTTTTTTTCTTCTCAAACACTATCAGTTTTTCCCCCTTAAGGTGCAGAAGGAGGGCACCATGATGATACAACAGCACTGTGCTGCTCTATCAGCCCAAAGGCCCCAGCGTGGGACACATCAGGCAGGGAGGTGCTGCCCAGAGCCCTGTGCAGGGAAAGGGGCACAGAGCTCAGGCACTGGCTGCTGTGATAAGAATCTTACAGGAAGGCAAACAGAGTGTGCATGTGAACCTACAGATGTTAGCCCATGAAGAACCAAAGGGAAGAGTAGGCAATCTCATTTCCACTGAGAAAATAAACAAAAAGCAATGCACAGTGTTATCTCATTTTGAATTTCAGTAATGTGCTTACAGAGACATTAAAAGGAGTGTTACCTGTTCTAAGAGATTCTGCAGCCTCTCTATTTCACAGTCTATTACAAATTTCTTTTCTTGTCTTCGGTCCAGGTCTTCTAAAAGCCGCCTGTAGCTGGCATCATTGAAATTCTCCACGCAGATGGCACTGACTTGCCAGCTATTTTGTCCTGCTTTTTCCATAATAGCTTGAAGTATTGAATAACCTAAAAGAAAAGGATACAATATACTAGTAACACAACAGTTGTTTTTTATTATTATTAAATAGGAATTGTTCTTAAACAATATTATGTCTGTTAATATTGGCTCCTGCAGGGAGAGGAATAAGATAAAAGTCTGTATCCCTACCTATGTTATTAGCCATGATCAGAGCACATTATGTAATTAATGACAATTACAATTGCTATAATCAGAACTCTTGGAATGATGCTCAGTATTTTGGATAAGCCACATTTGATTTATACATATAAATTCATCCTGTCAACCATTCAATTTCCCAGATTGGTTTCATACAAACTTATATATCCACACCTTTCTCATGATACCACAAAGAAAATACCAGTGTCCACTCATTCACCAGAAAGATTTGTATACTAAAAAAGCAGAGTATTAGACTCTGAGATGCTTTGTTATTTGTTGTCAGTGGACTTTTTGTTTTTTGAAAACATTTAAGCCAAGTGACTTTTGATGCTTCTCAATAAGAATTTACTGTCTCTTGCTTTTATACATAGGAGCAGAAAGGTGTGTAACTGAATTCTTTCATGCAGAAAAAAAACCAGCACCCATTGGCATTCATCAGCTCTTGCTGAATGTTTCTGGAGAGCTAACAGAGGCTGAGAGCACAATGAGGCAGGAACGGTGAGTTTCAGCAGTGGTCATAAGGGCACCTGCACTGATGCAGATTGTTACGAGTGCAGCATGCAGGCTCTTGTTCATTGCTGGTGAAAATGCACAGCTAATGGCAGTGACTGTGTTGAGAAATAGTGCTTTGCAGCTGACAATTTGCTCTATCAAACAGTGTTACTGTACTCTTTGTATCTGCTGTAGTATTCACGGAAAAATAATAAGAAGGCATTACTTTCAGAGTAACTTCCGTATTTATGCCAGTAAAGATATGTGTGAATAAAAATCACACTGATCTATTTCAGTGATCCTATATAGCTTTAATCAATGCATGCAAAGTGACTAGAGGTCAACAAATGAAGGGCACCACGGAGGCATTAATTATTACTCCTGCTCTTTATCATTACTATTTGATGCCCCCACTGTCATCTGTGAGTCCATTCACAGGCGACGAAGGCAGCACCTGCACCCAGGTCTCTGCCTGAGCCCACAGGGCAGGCTCCCTGCCCTTAACCTCCTGCCACTCCCCTCAATCCTAATTTTTCTCACTAGAGACATGCAGCACAGAGGCAGGAGAAGAGCTTGAGCCTACACAGGACACCTTGCACATCTTGCCCTGACTTGCCCAAGCATTTCCTGAAGTTGGAAGCAGGTACTATCCCATTTTTTATCTAAATGGGGAATTAGTATAAAGCAAAGAAAGTTTCACATCTCAGATCCAGAACTAATGTTTAAGAAAAACAAGGACAGGAATGCTTGTTGACAACACACTGATAGAAATGATACAATTCAAAGAAAATGCCTCTGTCCAGAATCAAAACACAAAAAATTTTAATTGCTATCTGGTTTTTCCCACTATCTTCAAAAGATTTCACCTCTTCAAACTCCCATGTGATGACATGGATACACTTGGTGCCTTCCTTCTCTCTTCCACAGGATGATCCCATGCACAGGCACAGGGATCCCCAGCTGTTATTGCAACGCACTTGGAGGCATCACTGCATGGCAGGCTCCCCGTGAAAGATACTGACTGAGAATCCCACAGACTGCAAGATGGGCCTTGTAAGTTACAGAAAGAGTATTGTGAGTGTGCAGTTGTTAACTGATAAAGTAGACCAACAAAACTACCAAACACCAGGCTTGCTACCCAGTAAAATAAAATCAGATGCTCATTTTTTTTAAATCAGAATATGCAGATTTTAGGACATATGACACTAATTCTATTGCAAATTAGGAGTAGTTATTTTCTCTCTGGCTCCTATGGCAATTGCAGTCCTCAAAGTGTTAACTTAAAATCTGTATCTTCTTGTTATTTAAGATAAAAATGCAAACGCCTATAATGAAAACACAAATTGTGTAATTTATTTTATCTTATAAATCAGACATTCAATTTACAAAAAAAATGTTTTACCTTAGGAAATACATTCAAATACTTCATGCATTGACTGATAAAGCATTTCTGTACTCAGCATATATTTTTAACCTGATGACTGCTATTTTTTTCAAAGAACCATACAGTTTTCCTGTTAATTGCTACATAATTATTCTGCTTTTCCTGTTGCTATATTCGATCTCCTTTTTGTCTGTAATTATCTCTGCAAATCATGATGTGATTCTTTCCCAAACATTGTATTTCTTGCTTCATTTCCTATTCATTTCCATATATAGATGTACATTAAGACTACTCCAGTGTTAGAGGGGTTTCTGCTTCATTTACACTGTAGCTTTGACTTGGTCTTTGCTACAAAGACAGTCAACATTTACGTAATTCAGCTTCCTGACACAAATTAACATTTTCTTTGATTCAGAATGAATGGTGTTTGAAAGAGCAATTGACATCCCCTCATTCCCCCCTTAATTCATTTTGACAACTTTACTGAGATGTGTTTTGATCAAACTGGGAGTTTATCCCAGCGTAAAGCATGACAAATATCAGGCAAACACAAAGAAAAGCTTTTCTTCTACCTTGGATCAAGGTTTGACTTGCCATCTTTCATTAGTAACTGCCTCCATTTAGGCATTTTGGGCTTCTACAGCTTCTCATCAGTAGCTGGCACTCAGACATGGGTTTTCACTTTAGTATATCTTTCATGTAGAGCATAAAACAGGTCATCTGACTAACTGGATATAGCACACATCTCCATAAGATGTGAGGGATTCCAGTGCAGGTAATTCTTAGCACAGTTATATATTCAGTGCACAAGAAGAAATTTTAATAAAACAGCCTGACAAGGATGGAGTTTATGCAGAATGAATAAAGGCAATGGGTCAGATAGGTCAGATGGCATCAAAATTACATATGCAGAGGAAAATCGCTATTTGTTAAAATAATTGGCAACAGCCAAGAGGAAAAAAAAAGTTTTATGTGATGTTGTAAATATCTTATACAGCAAAAAAACTGAAACTACCCCACAATAATACTATCAATACAGAAACTAAGTGCAGTGCTTCTGCTTAGACAAAATTCTTAGACTTCAGAGATGTATTTGCCCAAGCAAAGACATCAGAAATGAATCGTACAGCTGTGCTCCGAAAAGTATTTGTTTTCTGGTTATCTGCTGTTTATCCTCAGTTATGTCACAGACAGATAAGTGATTCATTTTCTGGATGTTTAGTGATTTGTGTAAATTTCATTCCATGTATTGTGGAATATTACTGCCTTCACAAAAGCAAACTAAAAAGAAGCTAACGCCTGTCAATGTTTTTTTATTTAAACCATTATTTTACAAAATGCTTAGGTCCACACCAAGAAACAAACGAAAAGGAAGTTGTTAGATACATATATAATAACCTTTCCTCACCAATTCAACCTTTAAATCCAGTTAAATCATTAGGAAAAAATGCAAATTACTTGGTCCAGACATAACTGGTTGAAGACTGAGGGTCTTTATCAACAGAATAACTGCCCTTCCAGCAGTTTGATTATTTAAATTAGGAAATCTGAACAAAAAAAAAAGTATCACAGAAATTGCTTGGAAACACTGTTGAAGTCTTTCTTAAATGCAAAGATTCTATATGCAAGAATATCTTCTCCTTTTTTTTTACAGGACTGGGATCCTATGGAATTTTCCTCTAATGACCTGCAAGGAGAAGTCTGCCAACTGCTTTTGTGGGTCACTGCTCAAATGCAGACTCTATTGACAACTGCTCAATGTTCAGTAATAGCAGCTCCACTTCACTACCCTGGAATCAAACCTGAGACAGGAAAAGTCTGCAGTGAACAGGGATATCAGTAGCTCAGTCAGGTTGCTCAGAGCCCTGACCAGCCTGACCTTGAGTGTATCCAGGGATGGGGCATCCTCTCTGGGCAGCCTGTGCCAGTGCTTCAACACCCTTTATTGTAAAAAAAGTCTTCTTATGTTCAATCTAAATCTCCCATCTTGGAAGTTTGAAGCCATTTCCCCTTTCCTGTTACAACAGAATATCTAAAGAGTCTGTCCCCTTCTTTCTTACAGCTCCCCTTTAGATACTGAAAGGCTGCTCTCAGGTCTCCCATGAGCTTTCTCTTCTCCAGGTTGAACAGCCACAGCTCTCTCAGCCTATTTACTTCTGTTTTATGGTGAAGTAGAAGTGTGATAATCTAACACACTACTACTGTTTTCCAAATGGATACTTGACAACTGTCCAGTTGAAAAGCAAAAAGAAACACAAAGAGTTGTTTCTCTCTTTTCCTGTAAAATCAGACTAGACAACGTTTATCTCCAAAAATTTACTTACTAGGAACAATACTGCAGCTAAGTACTTCGTATGTTTCTAACCCTACTTCCATCATTCCCCATTGCATTTTTCCACTGCAAAATGTATCAATCATAGAGAAGCAATGCCAGGTGTGCACCTGGCCTTATGTCTGTTTAAAGAGAGATTAGTAATTCTTCAGAGACAATCACCTGCTGGAGAACAAAGTGTGCAAAGCACATTGTAAGTGCCTGAATTCGGGAGTCCAGGCTTTCTCCTTGCCAGTACTGCACTGCCCTGTCTTTACTCTTCCTGCCCCTTCCCTCCAAGTAGCTGAAATCACGAGTCATCTTTTTCAATTATAGAAGTTCAGTAGTCCTTCAGTGTTTTTATTTGTCTTCTTCTGCTCCAGCTAGGCTTGCCCCCATTCAATTTCATTTCAGTAGTCAGTGCCTTAATTTTATTTATTTCCATTTAAATGAAAAGGAAAATCTGATACCTAATTCTCAGTGTGTTCAGAATAAAATGATCAGAGAAACATTTCTTGATTTTTTTCCTGCCTGAAGACACATGGTTGGCTTGTTTCCTTTTCTTTCTCTCCATTTCTTTTACCTTTTTGCTTGTTTGCTTTCACCAGCAATAGTTCAGTGATCAATTACAGAGTTATAATTTGAATTCTAATAACTTT